CTACACTATATACTACACTACTATAAACATCACTACTATACACTACACTATACACTACACTACTATACACTACACTATACACTACGCTATATACTACACTACCATACACTACACTATATACTACACTATACACTACGCTATACACTACACTATACACTACACTACTATACACTATACACTACACTATACACTACATTATACACTACTATACACTACACTATACACTACACTATACACTACGCTATACACTACTATACACTACACTATACACTACACTACTATACACTACACTACTACACACTACTATACACTACACTATACACTACACTATACACTACTATACACTATACACTACACTATACACTACACTACTATACACTACACTATACACTACACTATACACTACACTACTATACACATCACTACTATACACTACATTATACACTACACTACTATACACATCACTACTATACACTACACTATACACTACACTATACACTACACTACTATACACCCAACGCGAGCGACAGCCCGGCACGGTGGCTTCGACCCTCGGTGTTCTCATCAGCAAGCCCACGGGTTTACGCTGCGTACGGTGCGAAAGAAGTCCCGCGCGCACGAAGAGGCTCCGTGCAGCGCTGCTGATGTCAACCGCGTGGGTGAGCGTCGCCCTCTCGCGGGCAGATCGATGGCTGCAGATTATTGGGGTGAAGCTGTCCCACCAGAGGTCGCAACCGGGTACCCGATACCCGTACCCTACCCGATACCCGGCTGCCCGTACCCGGCCGGGTACGAGTACCCGTTTGCGACCCTGGTGCGGCCGGGTACGGCTAGGCCGTGAGTCACTGGTGAGTCACCGTTTGTCACTCATTTCCCAACGTCTTGTCTCTTCTCACAATTCAAGTTCCTAGAATCAACCCACCCGCACCTGCAACATGGCTTCATCCCAGAGGTCGCAATCAGTTACCCGATACCCGTACCCTACCCGATACCCGGCTACCCGTGCCGGGTACGGGTAGCCGTTTGCGACCCTGGTGCGGTCGGATACGGGTAGGCCGTGAGTCACTGGTGAGTAACCGTTGGTCACTCATTTCGGGTAGGGTACGGGTAAGGAATCAAAACCCGTTTGCGACCTCTGTGCCCCACTGAGGCTCAGCGAAGGGGCAACGAAGCGTCACCGAGTGGCGGTGACGTCACCGAAGGCGTCTGTGCCAGGCTAGGTGCACGTTTGAGGCTACCACGTGAAGTTTCAAGTTTCATTGATTAGGTGTAGCCCTGTGAGCCATTCGGCTCTTGAATCGGGTGCAACCGCAACAAACAAAAAAACATGAACAAGAAAACATCTTAAAGTGAATATGTGACTGAGTGCAAACAGAAAATCCAAGAAAAGACAGCAAAATATTGTAGAAAAAGCACCGCACACCAACGCTGTGTGCAAAAACCCCAGTGGGATGTAAGTCAAACAACAACAACAACAACAACCACAAGACAACTTAGATTAAGGCCATCAGTTTTACTCTGTACTACAACAAACAAACATGGCCAAACCGAAAAACGTTTCAAAAATCACCTAAATAAAGCCATAAAAGCAATGAAACAGTGATCATAGGAACTGTGACCGAATTTTCACAATAAACGACGTTAACAACATGTACTACCAAACTCTGCAGCCATAGCTCGCTGCATGAGTCACTCCACAACAGCAGGAGCATCAGTCGGAGTGTCAACATTTTCAATGCACCTTTAAGATCAGGGACAGACCCTGCAGGTGCCACGGGTCGACTGACTGAGATGAGTGGCCGATGCACCACCTGTGCCCCCCACTGTGCCAACTTGCTGTGTTTTTGGGGTCGTCCATAAATGACATCACGCGATTTTGGACGATTTTTGACCCCCCCCCCACCCCCTTCGTCACACGGCATCACAAAAAGTGAAACCCTCCCCCTCAAAAATGACGTCACAAAGCTCTGCCTCCCCCTTTAAAAAAAAACCCCATAAAACATGCTTCAAATCGCTTTAAACTATTGTCATTGTAGTGCGTATTTAATGTGGCGCTGCACCCATAGAGTGCCATGAAGATCCAGAGACTGAAGAGACCCACAGCAACCCACAGACTCATATAGACCCACATAGACCCACAAAGACCCATAGACCCACAGAGACCCACATAGACCCACAGAGACCCACATAGACCCACATAGACCCACAAAGACCCATAGACCCACAGAGCCTCACAGAGACCCACAGAAATCCAGAGACTCATAGAGACCCACAGAGACGCACAGAGACCCACAAAGACCCATAGACCCACAGACACCCACAGAAACCCACAGACTCATGTAGACCCACAAAGACCCACAAATACCCATAGAGACTCACAGAGACCCACAGAGACCCACAGACACCCACAGAAACCCACAAAGGCCCATAGACAACCATACTCATCGACAGCCATACTATAACTCAACTCTGTTGTATTGTTACCAGACAGTAAGGTCCCACAGAGATTTGTCGTAGCTTCTTGTTCACAAGCCCCTGGACCTGGCGTATCACAACTGATGGCAGCTCAACGAAGTGGCCGATACCATCATCATCACGTGGACATTTATAGCAGCAGACAAATAATATAAACGCGTGTTTGTACACACTCGTATGAGACTCATAGAGACCCATAGAGACCCACAGAGCTTCACACAGACCCACAGAGATCCAGAGACTCATAGAGACCCATAGAGACCCACAGAGCCTCACAGAGACCCACAGAGATGCAGAGACTCATAGAGACCCATAGAGACCCACAGAGCCTCACAGAGACCCACAGAGATCCAGAGACTCACAGAGCCTCACAGAGACCCATAGAGATCCAGAGCCTCACATAGACCCACAGAGATCCAGAGACTCATAGAGACTCACAGAAACACAGAGACTCAGATACCCATAGACGCAAGAGACCCACAGAGCCTCACTGAGACCCATAGAAATCCAGAGACTCAGAAACCCACAGAGATTTACACAGAGACCCATAGACCCACAGAGCTTCACAGGGACCCATAGAGATCTAGAGCCTCGTAGACACTCCAAATATACAGCAGCAGCACGGGTCAGGGTCGGGATCGAACCAACGATCTCCTGTAGACCAGGCGAGGTAGTTTATATCTCCTAGCCACCGTGATTACTTGGGTTGAAGCCCTGGGTCTGGGTGTCTCTTTCAGTGGGCTCATAATGGCCGTGTCAGAGAAACTGAGACCTGGGTTCAAGCCCTGGGTCTGGGTGTCTCTCAATGGGTTCATAATGGTCGTGTCAGAGAAACTGAGGCATGGGTTCAAGCCCTGGGTCTGGGTGTCTCTCTCTCAGTGGGTTCATAATGGCCGTGTCAGAGACACTGAGACCTGGGTTCAAGCCCTGGGTCTGGGTGTCTCTCTCAGTGGGTTCATAATTGCCGTGTCAGATACACTGAGACCTGGGTTCAAGCCCTGGGTCTGGGTGTCTCTCTCTCTCAGTGGGTTCATAATGGCCGTGTCAGAGACACTGAGACCTGGGTTCAAGCCCTGGGTCTGGGTGTCTCTCTCTCAGTGGGTTCATAATGGCCGTGTCAGAGACACTGAGACCCTGGGTTCAAACCATACACTCGCACACTCACCCACACACTCGCACACTCACACAACAACCGCCATTCGCCACACATCCACACACGCGCCTACCAACTCACACACTCACACACACACTCGCACACCCACTTACACACTCACCCACCCACTCATCCACTCACACACACAATGCAGGAGGAATCCGATGAGCCATGAAGCTCTTTTCCCACAGCTTCCCAATAAAAAAATCGATCTCCCTGCGATTATTGGAAAGCAATTGAATAATGGGAGACACTTTAAGAGAATTAATATTTATAGATTTTTTTTTTTACGAATTTCCTAGAATGGCATCAGTCAGAGTTTACAACCCTATAGGGGGAGGGGTGAGGTTATTCGACCATACTTCACCAGTCTGGTCAGTGTCATGCGAAGAGGGGGCGGGGGGGTGACGTCACGATTCGCCCTGATCGATGACGTCGCTCAGGCGGTGTTTGTGTCGAGTAGCGTCTGACGTCATCGGCCACCTCCTCGTGTGACGTCACCGACGTCCAATCAGGTTGACGCCACGACTTCCCCCCCCCCCCCACCGGCTCGATGACGTCCTTATTTAACTCGGTAGATGACGTCACACACAAAAACTCGCCCACGAGTGACATCATTACCGGTGTTAACAGCGGTCTGAGTGACGCATTCAAACATGGCTAGCCGATGACGTCACTCGAACGTATTTTTGTTACCCTGATTAACAACGCAAGCATATTCTTTGAGTATTTCGGTAAAGCTACGTAGATACATTTATTTTTACTATTTTTAATTATTTGATCTTTCTACGTGGCTTTACCGAAAGACCCACAGAATATTAATTCCTGCAGTCACGAAAGCTTTAAGTCACAGATTTAACAACGCAATCGTCTGTTACCCGCTTATGACGTCATCACCAAACTCGCCCGAACCTGAATCGATTCACCGGGTTCAGTCGTCTGAGTGACGTCACGTCCGTTAGCGGTTCCGATGACGTCACTGGCGAAAACCGGTCATGATCTCACTGAAAAAACTGGTTATCGACGTCATCTTGATCCTCTGACGTAATGTCATCCGAGATGGCGCGGATCTGACGTCACGCGGGTCCAGCCGTCGTTAATGTCACTGAGATTTTATAAAATAACGGTGGTTGATGACGTCACCCGAGAAAACTCAACTTCTCCCCTGACGTCATGTCCTTCGTGCGGCGCACGCGGGAGGTGGGGGTGCTGTTGACGTCACGCGGACTCCGAGGTAGGTGGGGGGGGCTCCTTTGCAGACGTCACTGGTAAGAAAAAAAAACCTTGGTTAATGACGTCAACCAGATACTTAACGTCTTCCGTGACGTCATGTCGCCTGTACGGGGGGGGGGGGGGTTGGCGTGACGTCACGTAGGCCCTGGGTGGGGAGCTGCGCTAGAAGAAAGATGGCGGCGAGCGGCAAAAGGTTCCTGAATTTTTATTTCTCATTTCACCTCAAGACTCTCAAATTCATCTCTCTTTCTCTCGCTCTCTCGCGCTTTCTCTCTCTCTATTTTTATTTTATATATTTTTTTTAAAATCTGAACGCAAAGGTTGTTGTGGTTTTTTTTAAAGTCGTTTACCTCAGCGTTTAACCGCTCCCCGTACATCGGCATTGTTTAACACGACCAATATCATTATATAGTTGTTTTTTATTAAACCCTACATTACGGATACTTTAATATCGTTACGATGTTGACGACGACGACGATGATGATGATTGATGTTTAACGATGGATCCGTTTGCATAACTCTTACCCCGGATAATCTCTCGGTGACTTATCACGATAATCACATTTTTATACAGAAATATCTCCAATTAAATATTATCACCATCATCAACGTCTCACCACCGCCACCCGCTAGTATCGCTTTCAAATCGGAGTTGTTTACCAAAACACCGCTCGTTTCTTCAGCGCTTCGCTGAGCTGTGATGACGACAGTAGCCGTTAGGTCCGTTGACCGAAACGTCGCCTCATGTCCCCGCACGATTTGAACAACAACGATCATCGTGATATGATAGCAGCAGCCACAGGGTTGAGCTGTCGTCAGTTGTGATAAGCCAGGTGAAGAGGCTTGTGAACAAGAAGCTACTACAAAACTCAGTGGGACCTTACTGTCTGGTAACAATACAACATAGTTGAGTTATAGTATGGGTCTCGATGAGTATGGGTGTCTGTGGGCCTTTGTGGGTTTCTGTGGGTCTCTGAGTCTCTATGGGTCTTTGTGGGTCTACATGAGTCTGTGGGTCTATGGGTCTCTGCGCGTCTCTGTGGGTCTCTATAAATCTCTGGATCTCTGTGGGTCTCTGTGAGGCTCTGTGGGTCTATGTGGGTCTATGTGGGTCTACATGAGTCTGTGGGTTTCTGTGGGTCTCTTCAGTCTCTGGATCTTCATGGCACTCTATGAGTTATAGTATGGGTCTCGATGAGTGTACGGGTCTATGTGGGTGAGTCTCTGAGTCTCTGTGGCTTTGTGTGGGTCTCTAAGTCTCTTGAGTCTATGGGTCTCTCACTATGTAACACGATTTTTGTTCCTGAGTAGTAAGTGCTTTTTTCTAATTGCTTATGCCTCAAAAGTATAGAAAATGGCTATCCCCCACAATCTTTGCTTTTGCGACCAGAACTTTATGCGAAGGATTGACAAATGCACACCACGTTTTCTCATTGAAAATAGATCAATGTAAAAATATCACTGTCCTGGTCACTAAAGCAAAGTTTGTGGAGAATAATAGCCATTTTCTGTACTTTTGAGGCATAAGAAATTGGAAAATAACACTTACTACCCAGGAACAAAAAAAATTAAAAAATGTTACACAGTGTTATTAATAGTGGAGTATTAGCTTGGCTTTTGTGTCCTGGTCACAAAAGCAAAGTTTTTGGGGAATGATAGCAATTTTCTGTACTTTCGAGGCGTACGCAATTAGAAAATAACACTTGCTAAACAGGAACAAGAAAATGTTTTGTTACACAGTGTTGTCTGTGGGTCTATGGGTTTCTGTCGGTCCTTGGGTCTCTGGATCTCAATGAGTCTGCAGCTTTTTGTGGGTCTCTGTAAGTCTCTGTGAGTCTATATGGGTCTCTATGAGTCCGTACAAACACGCGTTTAGAGTATTGATGATTTAAATTTAAAGCTTTCGTGACTGCAGGGATTCATCTTCTTGGTTCTTTCGGTAAAGTCACGTAGAAGGGAAATGATAAAATAAAAATAAACCATATTAAAATAATTCTCACGACGTTTCGGCCACAACGCAAGCAGCCGTGCTCAGGTGAAGAACAGGTCTTTCGGACAAAGGAATTTGCATATCAAGTAGCATATTTCCCATAAATATGATACATTCCTCTTGATATGCAAATTCCTTTGTCAAGGCGCTCTTCCCCCTCCAACCCAGCTTAAATATACGCTGCCAAGCCTGGTGGTGTTTCATTCAGACGCTGTCTTTCGCGACAGACCTGTTCTTCACCTGAGGACGGCTGCTTGCGTTGTGGCCGAAACGTCGTGAGAATAATTTTATTATGTTTTATTTTTTTATTATTTTATTTTCCTTTACGTGACTTTACCGAAAAAACTAAGAAGAGTATTGATGATGATATCAGCCACTTGGCTGAGCTGCTATTAGTTGCGACAGGTCAGGGCTTCTGAACACGAAGCTACATCGCTCATACTCTCTGGTTCTTTCGGTAAAGTCACGTAGGTATAAAATAAAATAGCTCAAATTTCGATTTAAAGCTTTCGTGACTGCAGGGATTCATCTTCTTGGTTTTTTCGGTAAAGTCACGTAGAAGGGAAATAATAAAATAATAAAAATAAACATGATAAAATAATTTTTAAATATTTTATTATGTTTTATAATTTTTATTTTATTATTTCCCTTCTACGTGACTTTACCGAAAGAACTAAGAAGATAAAATAGCTCAGTCGGGGCCTTACTATCTGGTAAGATAAAAAATAGTTTAAAGTTATTTGTTTACCTTTCCTTTACTTTACACTCCTGTCACGTTTGCGTCTATTTGTTGTTATGTTCTGATCCCCCGACATTTGTGGCAAAGAGCTTTATAGCTCATCGGATTCCTATGGTAAAAATACTGATTTCTGATTTATGTCGGGCGGGTGGATGGTTGGTTGGGTGTCGATTCAGCACGAGCCGTCGGGAGTCTGTAGGTGTCCGCACATGCGCCCCGTCTACCGGCGGTACGGCATCGTCGTCTACGTCAACAACAACGGCGTCGTCAACAACAACAACAGCAGCATCGTCGGTTCACCAGTGCGAGTTCTGCCCCTACCGCACAAGGAAGCGGGACAACCTCACGGTCCACCGGCGCACCCACACGGGCGAGCGGCCGCACGCGTGCCCTGTCTGCGGCAAGGCCTTCAAGCAGCTGGGCGCCCTGGCGGCCCACCGCACCGTCCACACGGGGGCCAGGCCCCACGTCTGCACCACGTGCGGCAAAGCCTTCGCCCACGCGGCGGCCCTGGCGGCGCACCGCACCGTCCACACGGGCGCCAGGCCCCACGCCTGTGCCGACTGCGGTAAGGCCTTTGCCGACTCGGGCGGCCTCCTCCGCCACCGGCGCATCCACACGGGCGTCAGACCGCACGCGTGCCCCGTGTGCGGCAAGGCCTTCGCCCAGTCGGGGGGCCTCAGGGCCCACGCCAGGGTGCACACGGGCGAGAAGCCGTACCCGTGCGGTGTCTGCGGCAAGGCCTTCGCCCACGCGGCGGCGCTGGCGGCCCACGGCACGACGCACACGGGCGCCAGGCCGCACGTGTGCCCCGTGTGCCGGCGGGCGTTCGCGGACGCCCGCAACCTGAGGCGGCACGCGAGGGTGCACGCCGCCGACAAGCCGTACGTGTGCAGCACCTGCGGCCGGGCGTTCGCGCGCTCCGGAGACCTGCGAAGCCACCAGCGGACGCACACCGGCGAGAGGCCGTACGCGTGCGGCGAGTGCGGCGGGGAGTTCTCGCGCGCCGAGAACCTGCGCAGGCACCAGAAGACGCACGCGGCGGCCAGGGCGGCGGCCGCGGCGGCGGCCGGATCGCCGAAAGGGACGCCGACGGCCTCCGACGTCGGGGCTCCTTCGGTCGACGTCGTCGGAGAGACGAGGAGGAAGAAGAAGGCGGCGGCGACGTCTTCGGCGGCCACTGGCGCTAGAGCTTCGCCGGGAGTGGCGCTCGATGGTGTGGGAGAGACGAAGGCAGCCACCGCCCCCCCCACTGCCGCCGCCACCACCACCACCAGTGTCGGGAATTTTTCACCGGGAAGGTCGCGTGATGTGGTAGCAGGGACCGTGCCCGATGGAGGGACGATGCCCCCCGGTGTCAGAACATTGCCGGAAGGCACTCTGGACGCAGTAGGAGGGACCAGGAAGACGCCACGCAGCCTCAGAACTCCACCGGCAGTGACGCTCAGCGCGGTACCAGAGACGAAGAGGACTCCCCGAGGCATCAGAAATTCGCCAGGAGTGACGCTCAACGCGGCTAGAAAGACAAAGGCGTTGCCCCGCGGCGTGAGGACCTCATCGGGGGGCACGCCCGACGCGGTAGGAGAGACGACCCCGCCGGCCAGCGTCAGGACTTTACCGGCAAGGTCGCGCAAAGCGGTAGCGGGGACCGCGCCCGGTGGAATCGCGACGACCCCCGGCGTTAGAACTTCGCCGAGAGGCGCGCTCGACGCAGTGGGAGAGACGGCGAAGACGGCCTCCGTCGGCGTGAGGGCTTCTCGTGCGGGAGTGAAGCGCGAGGCGGCGGGAGGAGCGCCGAACGTTCCGCAGGGCGGCACGGCGACCCGACGGCTGAGGGCGGCTTCCCGTCTGGCCAGCGGGTCCCTACACCCGAAACCTACGCCGGGGGGGACGAGCGATCCGGTGCGAGGGACGACTCCCGGCTGTGAGGATTTATCAGCGGTGAGGCTCAACACGACGGGAGGGACGGCTCCCGGCGGTGAGAGTTTAGCGGTGGGGAGACTCGGCACAACACGAGGGGCCACTTTCAGTGGTAATGATGCACCAATGGGGAGACTCGGCACAACACGAGGAGCCACTTTCAGCGGTAATGATGCACCAATGGGGAGACTCAGCATAACAGGAGAGGCCACTTTCAGTGGTGATGATGCACCAATGGGGAGACTCGGCACAACACGAGGGGCCACTTTCAGCGGTGATGATGCACCGATGGGGAGACTCAGCATGACAGGAGGGACGACTTCCAGCTGTAAGGATTTACCAGCAGGGAGACTCGGCATGACAGGAGGGACAACTTTCAGCGGTGATGATTTGGCAGTGGGGAGACTGAACTTGATAGGACGGACGACTTCTGGCGATGAGAGTTTAGCCGTGGGGAGGCTCGACGGGATGAGGCGAGTGCCCTGGTTGTTGGGAGAGGTGCCCGGATTCCCGGGAGGGACATCCGGCGTGCCAGGTGGGAAGTCCAACGTGGCAAAGCCATGGAATTGCGCGCCGAGCACAGCAGTAAGAGGAGGTGGGGGAGATGGAGGGTTCCACCCCCGCGTGTTCGGATCAGGGGGGCTGCCTGACGGCTCACCGCGGCCGCCGCCTCCGCCGCCCGACGTTAGAACGTCGCCGGGAGAGGAGGCGTTCGCTTGCCCGGCGTGCGGGGAGCTCTTCGCCAGGTGGAGGGACTGCCGCAGGCACCGGAGGACACACCGCACGTCGATGGCGACGACGACCGGTCCGCTGGGCGCTAGGCCCGGCACTTGGGCGGCGCTACCGGTGACCGGGGAGGAGGCGTACGCCTGCGCCGGGTGCGGGGAGTGCTTCGCCAAGCGGAGGGACCTCCGCAGGCACCGGAGGGCTCGCCGGGAGGGGGGGGTGGTCGGCGCGGCGGCGGCGGTCGATGCGGCCGCCAAGTTCCCGCCGGCGGGAGACGAGGCCCAGCTGTGCTGCGTGTGCGGCGAGGCCTTCGCCAAGCGGAGAGACCTCCGCCGGCACCTGAGGGCTCACCGCGGCGGCGGTGGCGGAAGGGCCTCGGGCGACGTGGACGACGACGCGCCGGAGCTTTTGCCGGTGCCGTTGGGGACGCCGGCCGGCACGAAAGCATCGGCGGGAGAAGAGGCCTACCGCTGCTGCGTGTGCGGCGAGGCGTTCGCCAAGCGGCGGGACCTCCGCAGGCACCAGAGGGCTCACCGCAGCGGTGACGACGCCGAGCCGCCACCGCCGGGAGCGACGTTCGGTTTGCCGGACGTGTCGGGCGGGAGGGGCCGCCGCTGCCGCCACCACCACCACCGGTGCTCCGTGTGCGGCGGCGAGGCGTCGGCCGGGACGGCTCCCCTCGGCGCCGCCGCGCTCACGGCGATGCACCCCTGCGAGTGCCGCAGCAGCAGGAGCAGGGGGGCGGCCGCGCCGGCGAAGAGGAAGAGCAAGAAGGTGAAGCTCGAAGAGGCGAGTTTCGCGGAGATGACGACGAGGAGGATGACGACGAGGATGAGCACGAGGATGAGCACGGCGAGGACGACTACGGCGTCGAAGCGGGAGGGCGGCCGTGGGCTGGCCGCGTGGCCGTGGGCCAAGGTGGAGCGAGGGGGTGAGGGCGGCGGACCCTTTGCCGTGTCGGTGGTGAAGCGGGACGGTGGGGGGGAGAGCTCCCACCACCATCACCACCACCGTGTTGAGTTTGTGAGTTAACCGTCGCCCGCCGATCCACCCACCACCATTGTGTTGAGTTTATATTCTTTGAGTCTTTCGGTAATGTCACGTCGATAGGTTCAAAGAAAATAACAAAACATGAGTTAGCGGTCAGCTACCCACCCACTGCACTACACTACCCTATACACTACGTGACTTTACGGAAAGACCGAAAGAATATGAATTCCTACAGTCACGAAAGCTTTACGTCAAGATTTTGTGTTGAGTTTGTGAGTTTATTGTCGCCCAACCACCACCACCAGTGTTGAGTTTGTGAGTTAGCCATCGCACTAAACTACCCTGTACACTACTACGCACGATATACTCTAATACTCTATAGACGACACGATTATACACTACACTATACACTGCACCTCTCTACTACATTGTGTAATCGTTTCTTTAGATCTGCTGCTGCTTGTTGCCTTTAATATGTTGTCCTTCCCACCGCACCTCCGATTAGCACGGTTGGCTGCGTGCGGTGGTGTGAAAGAAGTTAAGCACGCACACAACACGTGCAAACTGGTGTAGATATCTCCTCTGGGCGCCTTGGGACTGTCAGGTCTGGCCAGAGGCAATGCAACGGTCGTCACCTGCTGCCGAATGTTGCGGTCAAAGTAAAACACGTGATTTGGTTACGATGGTGGTACTGCTGCTGCTGCGTTGGCACACGGTTAACGCAATTGACGAGGGTGGTTGAGGTTTTTTCCTTTGTTGTACAGTGTGGTAACGTCGCGTTCAATAAAGTGCAGTTTAGATACCTTTACCTCCTTGGACCGCCTTCTTGGTTCTTTCGGTAAAGTCACGTAGCAGGGAAATAATACAATAATAAAAATAAAACATAATAAAATACAATTCCCCTTGGACCGATTATGGCTTTTGTTTGAGTTATCGATGCTGAGAATTGTCACACCCAGAAGGCTTCTGTGTGTGTGTGCCCGATGGAATGTTGTAGTGTGGCCCCCACGTGCGCGCGCGTGCACATAGCCTGGCACAAGCGCCCTGGTGATGTGCGTGTGAGTACAGGGACTCCTCTACTTACGAACATTCAGAGATACGAACAAACCTGTCCCGTATGTCCAGTTGCCAGTTCGGAGCGAGAGTCGTGTAAGTTCGACTGCCGTGCAATAGATGGCGGCGGTGGTGGCATCTACTTCTGCAGAACGTGAAGAACCAGTGGCATCTACATCTGCAGAACGTGAAGAACCAGTCGCATCTACAGAACATGAAGAGCTAGTGGCATCTACATCTACAGAACGTGAAGAACCAGTGGCATCTACATCTGCAGAACATGAAGAACCAGTGGCATCTACATTTGCAGAACATGAAGAACCAGTGGCATCTACATCTGCAGAACATTAAGAACCAGTGGCATCTACATCTGCAGAACATGAAGAACCAGTGGCATCTACATCTGCAGAACGTGAAGAATCAGTGGCATCTACATCTACAGAACGTGAAGAACCAGTGGCATCTACATCTGCAGAACATGAAGAACCAGTGGCATCTACATTTGCAGAACATGAAGAACCAGCGGCATCTAAATCTGCAGAACATTAAGAACCAGTGGCATCTACATCTGCAGAACATGAAGAACCAGTGGCATCTACATCTGCAGAACGTGAAGAATCAGTGGCATCTACATCTACAGAACGTGAAGAATCAGTGGCATCCACATCTGCAGAACATGAAGAACCAGTGGCATCCACATCTGCAGAACGTGAAGAACCAGTGGCATCTACAGAACATGAAAAATCAGTGGCATCCACATCTGCAGAACGCGAAGAACCAGTGGCATCTACATCTGCAGAACATGAAGAACCAGTGGCATCTACATCTGCAGAACATGAAGAATCAGTGGCATCTACATCTGCAGAACATGAAGAATCAGTGGCATCCACATCTGCAGAACATGAAGAACCAGTGGCATCTACATCTGCAGAATGTGAAGAACCAGTGGCATCTACATCTGCAGAACATGAAGAACCAGTGGGATCCGCATCTGCAGAACATGATGGACCAGTGGCATCCACATCTACAGGAGATGATTCAACTTTAAAAGCCACTCCCCGTGTTTAGTGTACATGCCATGCAACCATGTTTGGAATCGACAGGCGCAAAGTTGGACTTACGAACACATTGACTTACAGACAGACCTCTGGAACCTATCTGTACCTGGTGTGGTTATGGGGAGCGGTAGTTGTAGCGGTTAAAGCGCTGCGCTACGAACCCAGCCACCTGAGTTCGATTCCCGCTCATGACCAACAACAGTGACAGCGATTATCTGAACTGGTCCTGAACCTCAAGTGAGGTGACATTATGTTAGGTAGAGGTAGCTTTACCTCAGATGAGGTAACTTTACCTTAGGTGAGGTAACGTTACCTCAGATAGAGGTAACTTTACCTCAAGTGAAGTAAGATTACATTAGGAAGAGGTAACTTCAGGTGAGATAACTTTACCTCGCGGGAGGTAACTTTACCTCAGGTAAATGTAACATTATATGAGGTTATCCGAACGTATTCACATCACTTCAGCTAATGCTCATACTGGTAGGAACGAAGTGGACCAGCCTACAATAGATTATATCGTCCGTCCGTCCGACCGTGTAGCAACATCGCGCCCTACTGCAAACACTTGGCATGACCCTACAAAAACCTTTAGACTCAGTGACGCTTTCCTGGCTAAACAAGTGTAACATTCCCTTATAATTCCCTCAGATAGCTTTTAATTAAAATATTTAAATTAATGAGGCTTTCCTGGCTAAACAAGTGTAACATTCCCTTATAATTCCCTGAGATAGCTTTTAATTAAAACTTTTAAATTCAAATTTTACTCACAGCGCCCTAAAGCCTACAGCTAGGCCTAAAGCCTCGAACTACGCCTATCACTCTCCCTTCGTATCGTACCCCCGCGTGTGTGCAAGGGAGTTCATGTTTAACAATGTTACATTCCCTGATGCTTTTAAATAGAAACATTTAAATTTAAAGCTTTTACATAAATAATAAAAACATTTAATTTTAAAATTAACTCACGGCGGCCTACAGCTAGGCCTAAAGCCTAGAACTAGGCCTCAACCTCTCCCTTCGTATCGTACCCCCGCGTGTGTGAAAGGGAGTTCATGTTTTACAATGTTACATTCCCTGATGTTTTGAAATAGAAACATTTACATTTAAAGCTTTTACATAAATAATTAAAACATTTAAATTATAAATTAACTCACAGCGGCCTAACGCCTACAGCTAGGCCTAAAGCCTAGAACTAGGCCTCACACTCTCCCTTCGTATCGTCCGATTCGGTGTAGCAACATCGCCCCCTACTGCAAACACTTGGCAGGACCCTACAAAAACCTTTAGACTCAGTGGGGCTTTCCTGGCTAAACAAGTGTAATAATACATTATGTCTATATTCTTTGGTTATTCGTTCCTACCAGCCCACCCCGCAGGGTCCTGTTATTTTTACGCTAATATTGTAATATTCGAGTAATATCGTCACGTGGTTAAATCGTTAAACACAACGCTCGCGTGACGTCACCACCTCAGTGTCGAGCCGTCGACACTTCACGCGGCAGCCTCGAACTGCACCCAGCCTGGCACAGGCGCCGTGGTGACGTCACCGTCACTAAGTGGCCAATGGCGGCGGTTGGTGGTGGTGGGGGGGAGGAGGGGGTGGGGGCGAAAAGGCAGTTGGAGGAGTAGGGGGGAGGGGGAATCGGGGGTGGGGGTGAGGGGGGGATAGGGGGTGGGGGCGGAATGGCGGTTGGTGAGTGGTGGGAGGGGGGAATGGAGGGTGGGAGGGGTGGGGGGTAACAGGAGCGTGGGGGGTGAGACGCGTGACGTCACCATGCAGTGACGTTATCAGAGTTTTTAAGTTTAAATTTTTATTCTGGAAGAATCCGATGAGCTGTGAAGCTCTTTGTCCAGTAGGGGCACGTGGTCAGAACGCCACAACAACAAACACAACACAATAAACACCGTAGCAGTGCAGAGTATAGGAAAGGTAGGCACATGACCAAGACAAATCTGTAGGGGCTTGTCATCTCGCGTGTTATCGCGGACCACGCTTCACCCCCTATAGTTTATATTATTTCTCCACAACGCGGCGTTCTTCAGGAACGCAACAACCACCACCGCGTTACAGGAGAACAACAGATCGTGAACGCGCTTCGACGATTCGTGGCAACGGCAACACAAAGCGCCACGCGCAGTCTCTTGCGACCAGCGGTGTCTGTGATGAAGGTTTTTGTCGTCGTCGTCGCTGCTGCTGCTGCTGGGTTAGATGGCGTTGGATCACAATCCTGGCACATCGCCCGATGAAACCGGTCGCCGTTGTTTGTAATCACCGGCGAAACGTCACCGGTACTCGAATTGTAAATGCTGTTGTGGGTTCACTCTCCCCGACACACAAGCGCTGTGTGTGCTGAAGTTGGAAACCAATTGGCACGTTTCGTTTACGTGACAAACCCTGACTGATTGGCCGTGTCAGGCAATGGTGGTGGGTGGTGGATTAACGACACAATGTTGATATTTACGAGATCTCTAACCCAACAACAACAGCAAAAGCCAAACCTCTGTCACGGAAAAGTGTCACCACAGAGCAAGTCGCTCCGACCTCCTGCAGATACCGGTGTAACACGATAAAAAAAATTAACCCGTAAAAACAAAGTTTTTCACTATAAATCATTTAAATGTGTGGCGGCTAGAGTCCTCTCATCCTCTGGCTTGAGATGGCTGCCACCTATGGGTCAGATGATTGCCTGCCACCATTAAGCAATTGGTAATTAATCGAATTTTTTTTTCGTGAAAATTGTTTTCACGAAAATAAATTGTCACGCACAACGAGTCTGTGTGCAAAATGTCAGCTCGATTGGCTCACGGGAAGTGGGTTAAAAAACGACCGAAAGATTTGCACGGTCCTAAGCAAGCAAGTGAACTTAATATAAAGGATTTAAAAATAACCCCTGCCCCGATTAAACCCGGGTATAGTTTGGCCCAGGCCAGAGTATACCCGGGGGGATAAAGTGTCCTCGGCTAAACTAGACCCGGGGGTTTAAACTAGACTGGTCCAGACCATACCCCCCTCCAGGGCAGAACATGCCCCATGTGAAAGTTCAAAGGCAATTATCCATACAGGGAACAGCCGACAACGAACTTCAATCGATATCTAAAAAGCGTATAAATGGAAGTAAGAATCTCAAGTTGATCAATTTAAGCATTTTTAGGGTTATTATTAAAGTTTTTCTGGTTGAAGCAATCAAAGTCTATGTAAAATTTCGATTTAAAGCTTTCGTGACTGCAGGGATTCATCTTCTTGGTTCTTTCGGTAAAGTCACGTAGAAGGGAAATAATAAAAAAAAAATATAAAAATAAGAAATTAATATTGTATATTTAAATAATATAGTATTATAATATATTAACATAATATAATAAAATAATATACTATAATAAAATAATGTTTTATTTTTATTATTTTATTACTTCCCTTCTAGGTGACTTTACCGAAAGAACCAAGAAGAGGAGATTTTTTTTTTCGATTTGAAGATTTCGTGACTACAGGGATTCATATTCTTGGTTCTTTCGGTAAAGTCACGTAGAAGGGAAGTAAGAAATTAATAATAAAACAATAAAATTCTCACGACGTTTCGATTGCAACACAAGCAATCATCATCAGGTGTGAAAACCACAGCAATATTTTTTTGCTGTGGTTTTCATAACCTGATGATTGCTTGTGTTGCAATCGAAACGTCGTGATAATTTGATTCTTACATTTTTATTATTTTATTATTTCCCTTCTACGTGACTTTACCGAAAGAACCAAGAATATAATAGATTTTAGTTTTTTACTTCATCACGTGACATTTACAGCAGCCAAATACTCTGAACGCATGTTGAGATGTTAACTACCTCTCCTGGTATACAGGAGATCGTTGGTTTGATTCCGACCCTGACGCCTGCTGTATATTTTGAGTTTGCGCGTCTCTCTCTCTCTCCCCGTGGTCGTGTGGATTTTTCTCCAGGTCCTCCGGTTTTCCCTCGACATTTAGAATCGAGATCACACGATCAGAGTATTTGGCCGCTATAAATGTCCACACAATGATAAGCCACTTCGTTGAGCTTTCATTTGCGATGGCCAGGTGGTCACGTCTGATAAAAGAGCTACTACGTATCCAGTTGGACCTTACTTGGTAAAATCCCAAGATAATTTTTGTTAGTTTAAGTTTGTACATATATATAATTTTAAACAGAATCACAAACTAATGCTCAACTTTCTTAAACGTGTAAGAGTCAACGCGCTACCACCGTGCGACATCACGCGAGCAACCGGGATGACGCAGAGAATCTCTCAACCCTTTCCCGCGTCCGAGACGTCTGCAGAGTTGCAGGGTCGGTGGGTGTCACCGTTCACGGGGTGGGTGTCACCGTTCACGGGGTGAGTGTCACCGTTCACGGGGTGGGTGTCACCGTTCACGGGGTGGGTGTCACCGTTCACGGGGTGGGTGTCACCGTTCACGGGGTGGGCGTCACCGTTCACGGGGTGGGCGTCACCGTTCACGGGGTGGGTGTCACCGTTCACGGGGTGGGTGTCACCGTTCACGGGGTGGGTGTCACCGTTCACGGGGTGGGCGTCACCGTTCACGGGGTGGGCGTCACCGTTCACGGGGTGGGCGTCACCGTTCACGGGGTGGGCGTCACCGTTCACGGGGTGGGCGTCACCGTTCACGGGGTGGGCGTCACCGTTCACGGGGTGGTAGTCACCGTTCACGGGGTGGGCGTCACCGTTCACGGGGTGGGCGTCACCGTTCACGGGGTGGGCGTCACCGTTCACGGGGTGGGCGTCACGGTTCACGGGGTGGGCGTCACCGTTCACGGGGTGGGTGTCACCGATCACGGGGTGGGTGTCACCGTTCACGGGGTGGGCGTCACCGTTCACGGGGTGGGCGTCACCGTTCACGGGGTGGGCGTCACCGTTCACGGGGTGGGCGTCACGGTTCACGGGGTGGGTGTCACCGTTCACGGGGTGGGTGTCACCGATCACGGGGTGGGTGTCACCGTTCACGGGGTGGGTGTCACCGTTCACGGGGTGGGTGTCACCGATCACGGGGTGGGTGTCACCGTTCACGGGGTGGGTGTCACCGTTCACAGGGTGGGCGTCACCGTTCACGGGGTGGGCGTCACCGATCACGGGGTGGTAGTCACCATTCACGGGGTGGGTGTCACCATTCACGGGGTGGGTGTCACAGTTCACGGGGTGGGTGTCACGGTTCACGGGGTGGGTGTCACGGTTCACGGGGTGGTAGTCACCATTCACGGGGTGGGTGTCACAGTTCACGGGGTGGGTGTCACGGTTCACGGGGTGGGTGTCACCGATCACGGGGTGGGTGTCACGGTTCACGGGGTGGGTGTCGCCGATCACGGGGTGGGTGTCGCCGTTCACGGGGTGGGTGTCACCGTTCACTGCAGAATCCCGCGAATCGAGCGAGCGGCTTGCCCTCGTTAATTCTATTTAGAGAGTGGCAACAGCAGCACTGTTGCTGTTGTTGTTATAAAGACGTCGTTTGCTCACCGCAGAGAAGCGTAGCGACACGACCGCCGCCACTCTGCACTAGCCGGCGCCAAAACTGTGCCACACTCCCTGCCCCGCGTGGCCCTGTGGGAGGCTCGGTACCGATAAAGTTACTTTAGTTTTTAATGCGTTTTGTTGTTGCGACGACGACGTTCGCGCACGGCACACGGCGTCGTCGCAACAGCAAAGGTGAAGTTCACGCTGGGAACATTTTCAACGGGGGAGGCAGCAACAACACGCAGGGTGATCCAAGTGCAGATGCCCCACTCATACCTACACCCCCCTCCCCTAACGCCCTCTCGGAATATTTTTTCAGACCGCAGGAATCCGATGAGCTATGAAGCTCTTCTTCGCAGATCTCCAGCCGTTCCACAGATGTCCTCTCATAGCAACCCCCCCACCTCCTCCCCGTAGCTTTCCTCAGCAGCAAAGTGAATAGCGCACAAGCGATGGCTCGGGGCTACGGTACTGAGTCAGAGGTCGCAAACGGGTTTTGATTCCTTACCCGTACCTGGCCGCACCAGCGTCGTAAACAGGTACCCGTACCCGGTATCGGGTACCTGATTGCGACCTCTGGGGTGAAGCCATGTTGCAGGCGCGGGTGGGTTGATTCTATGAACTTGAATTGTGAGAAGAGACAAGACGTTGGGAAATGAGTGACAGTTACCAGTGACCGTAGGGTACGGGTATCGGGTACCCGGTTGCGACCTCTGGACTGAGTGTTCGGAGATTTGTGAGCGGATGCCACCTTCGTCATCGGCCGCGGTTCAGTCTACCGCTGGATGGGTACGTACTGTACGTACTGTGCGTACGTCGCACGGGGCAGGGCTACGAGACGGCACGCGGTGCGCATGGAGACCGGTGTGAGACGTGCAGACTGGGGTATCTGTAGGTGGATCGCGCTGCGGTGCCCCCCTCTAGGGTAACAACAGTGCAGCTCTGCACGGGGGACTCTGCACACTCACACACACAGGGACCCCCAGGTGATGGGGGTGGGGGGGGGGACGTGCGGTGGTTGGGACCTAGAACTCCGCACTTGCAATCGAGGGGTGGCCGGGTCGGTTTAATCTCCCACCCCCCACAGAGTGTGAGGCAGGTGTAGGAGGGTCCGTAGGTTACCGTGTTCACATTCAAAATCAGTTTCAAGAGTGGCACAGCCTCGGCTAGTCACGTGGCCTGTTGTTTAAAACTAATTCATAGCTCGGCGCTGTGCGCTTTTTGCTCAGGATGGATGACTTTTCTGTTTCCACGGGAAGGAGAAAATGTATTCTGGCCGGTGTGTGTTCTCTGGTGCACGTGAAGATTTGATAGGTCTGCAAACGCCTTCTCACACACGGTGCACTTGAACGGCTTCTCTCCCGTGTGTGTTCTCTGGTGCCTGTGAAGACTGGATGGGTCTGCAAACGCCTTCGCACACACGGTGCACTTGAACGGCTTCTCTCCCTTGTGTGTTCTCTGGTGCCTGTGAAGAGCTGATAGATGTGCAAACGCCTTCTCACACACGGTGCACTTGAACGGCTTCTCTCTCGTGTGTGTTCTCTGGTGGCTGTGAAGAGATGATGTGTCTGCAAACGCCTTCTCACACACGGTGCACTTGAACGGCTTCTCTCCCGTGTGTGTTCTCTGGTGGCTGTGAAGATGTTGTAAATGTGCAAATGCCTTCTCACACACGGTGCACTTGAACGGCTTCTCTCCCGTGTGTGTTCTCTGGTCCCTGTGAAGAGTTGATGTGTGTGCAAACGCCTTCTCACACACGGTGCACTTGAACGGCTTCTCTCCCGTGTGTGTTCTCTGGTGCTTCTTCAAGCTACACTTGTAGTCCGTGCTGAATGAACATTGGTCACACTGATGACTTTTGTTACTGGGCTTAGTGGGGTGTCTCCTCTGCACGTGATGTTGTAGACTAGAGCGGCAGATGAACTGACGGTTGCAGGCAGGACACGGCAGCCTTGTGACCTCCACACCCACTCCACCTGCGTCATCCCAGAGGAACAAGACACACGCGCACACACCAACATCTAGACATGAACACTCTTGCACACGTGTGTGTATACACAAAGGTAAAGGTTTCCCACAGCCATATCAGACTGTTGGGCAAGTGCTGTTTGCGAGTACCTATGAAGGCCGGCATGGCACACGAGGGAGTAGGTGGCCAACACTAGGCCCGACCGCCTTTGTCTCTCCAGTGGCGATGTTTCCACGTTTAAGCTAGGTACTCATTTGAGGCTGAGTCAACCTAGGGGAGGCCTAAATATTCACCACTGACGTTGGCCGTGAGTGGGAATCAAACTCAGGTGGCCAGGTTCGTAGTGCAGTGGGCTCCATTATATATACACACAAAGACAAAGAACCCCCATATAGCCTGTATATACTTTTGGGACAAGTGCTGTTATGGGCACCAATGAAAGCCAACACGGCACACGAGTGGGAGGGTGGCCAGCACCACACATAGCCGCCTTTGTCTCCCCAGTGGCGATGTTTACTACTACACACCACACCAGTTACTCACTTCCACCTTATCAGTGTGGCTGGTGCCTATCATCTCTGGTGAGTGGTGGCTGTCATCTCTGGTGAGTGGTGGCTACCAACTCTGGTGAGATGTGGCTATCATCTCTGGTGAGTGGTGGCTATCATCTCTAGTGAGTGGTGGCTATCATCTCTGGTGAGTGGTAGCTACATCCACATCTCTGGTGAGATGTGGCTATCATCTCTGGTGAGTGGTAGCTATCATCTCTACTGAGTGGTGGCTATCGTCTCTGGTGAGTAGTGGCTATCGTCTCTCGTAAGTGGTGGCTGCCATCTCTGGTGAGTGGTGGCTATCATTTCTGGTGCGTGGTGGCTATCATCTCTGGTGAGTGGTGGCTATCATCTCTGGTGAGTGGTGGCTATCGTCTCTCGTGAGTGGTGGCTATCATCTCTGGTGAGTGGTGGCTATAGTCTGGTGAGCAGTGGTGAGTCTCTGGTGAGCGGTGCTCACGGTGTTCCTCGCTTGGTGGAGGCTGCACGGGCTGCAGGTCTCTGGCGGTGGCCCTAGGAGCCATCTCGCTGCTGCTGCTGCGGCGTCGCGAGGGCCCGGCCTCGCAGGCGATGCCCAGCTCCTGGGCGAACTCCTAGCCGTACCAGACCAGCAGCTCAGAGCCGGGCCCCACGGCACGGAATGTGCGGTAGTAAATCTGCCCCCGGTGCTGGAAGGCCACCAGGTTCTGCTCCTGCTCATTCCTCGCGCAGTTGACGAACCTGCGCGGGCAGACGCAGGGGCGGGGTGGGCGCCGTTAGCGAGCGCCTATTAAGGGCCGGCACTGGGCGCTACGTGGGGGTGGTGTGGCTGGAACCACGCTCCGTACCGGGTGCTCATTTGATGCCGAGTCGACCAAGGGGAGGCCCAGGGTTGGTCTCTGTGTGTAGTGGGTCTGGTCTCTGTGTGTAGTGGTTCTTGTCTCTGTGTGTGGTGGTTCTGGTCTCTATGTGTGGTGATTCTGGTTTCTGTGTGTGGTGGTTCTGGTCTCTGTGTGTGGTGGTTCTGGTCTCTGTGTGTAGTGGTTCTGGTCTCTGTGTGTGCTGGTTCTTGTCTCTGTGAGTAGTGGTTCTGGTCTCTGTGTGTGCTGGTTCTGGTCTCTGTGTGTAGTGGTTCTGGTCTCTGTGTGTGGTGTTTCTGGTCTCTGTGTGTAGTGGTTCTGGTCTGTGTGTGCTGGTTCTTGTCTCTGTGTGTGGTGGTTCTGGTCTCTGTGTGTAGTGGTTCTGGTTTCTGTGTGTAGTGGTTCTGGTCTCTGTGTGTAGTGGTTCTGGTCTGTGTGAAGTGGTTCTTGTCTCTGTGTGTAGTGGTTCTGGTCTCTGTGTGTAGTGGTTCTGGTCTCTGTGTGTAGTGGTTCTGGTCTCTGTGTGTAGTGGTTCTGGTCTCTGTGTGTAGTGGTTCTGGTCTCTGTGTAGTGGTCCTGAAGACAATCACCTCATCCAGTTTGATTTAGATTCATCCTGAGCATCAACATATTCACGATCCTTTTTGTTTTTGTAAATCTGAAACACACAGACGCACACGAGCAGATCCACGGATAATTAATGTGAGTTGGACTGTAAGTTGAACTTCTTTCGTACCGCACGTAGCCAAACGTGCTGATCGGAGGTGCGGGGGAAGGACAACAAACTAAACACTAAAATCAATTCTAAAGAAATGCATTTTACAAGATTTAAAAGTGCATAGCTCCCAGTAGCTTCCTAACATTGGAAGGAAGAGCCTTCCAGACGGCCGCAGAAGTGCATCTGTAAGCACCGTGTCATGCGGTGACCACCGTCTTTGCAGGATGGGTAGCCAAACACCGCTGCTGCAGTGAGCATGAACAGAGTTTGTGTGATGATGGTTTATGCTTCTTGACGAGATCAGTGGCGGTATCGTGGTTTATTTTTGTGTAAGGAGTGCGTGATGCGTAACCACTTGTCTGTGGTTCCTCCTCGTGCATCGAAGTTGTTCTGTCCTTGTGAGCGAGCGGCTACTGTGGGTTAGAAGTTGAACTCGTAATTATGTTAATTTTTGGGTTTCTCTGTGAATCTGTGGATCCCTGTTTGAGTCCCTGAATCTATGTGCGAGTCTCTGGGTCTCTCTGTGAGTCTGTGGGTCTCTCTGTGCGATTCTCTGAGCCTCTGTGTGAGTATCTGGGTCTCTCTGTGTGAGTCTCTGGGTCTCTGTGTGAGTCTGTGGGTACCACTGTGAGTCTCTGGGTCCCACTGTGAGTCTCTGGGTCTCTGTTCAAGTCTCGAGGTCTCTGTGCAAGTCTGTGGGTCTCTCTGTGCCAGTCTCTGGGTCTCTGTGTGAGTCTGTGGGTGACTGTGTGAGTATCTGGGTCTCTGTGTGAGTCTGTGGGTGACTGTGTGAGGCTATGGGTCTCTGTGTGAGTCTGTGGGTGACTGTGTGAGTATCTGGGTCTCTGTGTGAGTCTGTGGGTGACTGTGTGAGGCTATGGGTCTCTGTGAGTCTGTGGGTGACTGTGTGAGGCTATGGGTTTCTCTGTATCTTCTTCACGAGCCTCCTCTCCACACACACGATGATGATGTAGGAATAGGAGGAGGCTGCAGCAGTGGCAGTGGCAGCAGCAGCAGCTCACCAGCCAGCAGTACTCGCTCACGGGGTTCTCCTCAGACACCTCTCCCTGGTAGGGCCCAAACATCACCCCCTTGGGCAGCTTCTTCCTGTTGCTCCACACCCCGAGGCCGGCGCCGGCAATGGAGGAGGCGCCGACGGTGAGGCCCTGGGGCAGGCTGAGCCGGGCCCTGTTGGCCACTCCCGGGGCCACGGCCGCGTCCGCGATGAACTCTGGCGGGCCGTGCACGGAGCACTCTCCCAGGTAGAAATCCCTGCACAGCTCGCAGACTGAGAGCCACAACAGCAGCGGGAGGAGGGTGAACCGCAGTAGCAACAGCAGCAGCAGTGGCGCTGTGAGAGAGTGAGAGGGTGAGGAGCGCTCCAGACAGATGCCTCCCTCCCTCCCTCTCTGCATGGTGAACTTCTTTAGCTCGCTCATCGGAGATGTAAACCCTGTCACCCTCCCTGCTCCCTCTCTGCATCCCTGAGTGAGGGAGCAAAAGAGAGAGAGGTAAGTGAGAGTGTGAGAAAGGGAGCGTGTGAGAGGGAGGGAAAGGGGGAGAGAGTGAGAGGGAGCCGGTGGAATATATCGAGTGAGAGCGCGGGAGCAATAGAGAGAGATAGGTGAGAGTGTGAGAAAGTTAGAGTAAGGGGCCGTCCATAAATGACGTCACGCACCTGGGAGGGGGGGGGTCAGACATTTGTGACGATGTGTGACGAGGGGGGGGGGTTGAGAAATGTGACGTCGCATCAAAATGCGCAACTTTAAATAAATATAGACAACACGTTCTACTTAATTAAATCGACTTTTAAATAAATGTTTTCTCCTACAACATCAGAGTGCAGCGCCACATTAAATACGCAGTACAATGACAATAGTTTAAAGCGATTTGAAGCATATTAAATCTTTTGGGGGGGGGAGGCAGAGCTTTGTGACGTCATATTTGAGGGGGGGTCTGACTTTTTGTGATGCCGTGTGACGATGGGGGGGGGGGGGAGGTCCAAAATCGCGTGACGTCATTTATGCACGGCCCCTAAGAGAGTGTGAGAAAGTGACAGTGTGAGAGAGAGTGTGAGAAAGTGACAATGTGAGAGAGAGTGTGAGAAAGTGACGGTGTGAGAGAGAGTGTGAGAAAGTGACAATGTGAGAGAGAGTGTGAGAAAGTGACAGTGTGAGAGAGAGTGTGAGAAAGTGACAATGTGAGAGAGAGTGTGAGAAAGTGACGGTGTGAGAGAGAGTGTGAGAAAGTGACAATGTGAGAGAGAGTGTGAGAAAGTGACAGTGTGAGAGAGAGTGTGAGAAAGTGACGGTGTGAGAGAGAGTGTGAGAAAGTGACAGTGTGAGAGAGAGTGTGAGAAAGTGACGGTGTGAGAGAGAGTGTGAGAAAGTGACAATGTGAGAGAGAGTGTGAGAAAGTGACAGTGTGAGAGAGAGTGTGAGAAAGTGATAGTGTGTGAGAGAGAGTGAGAAAGTGACAGTGTGAGAGAGTGTGAGAAAGTGACGGTGTGAGAGAGTGTGAGAAAGTGACATTGTGAGAGAGAGTGTGAGAAAGTGACAGTGTGAGAGAGAGTGTGAGAAAGTGACATTGTGAGAGAGAGTGTGAGAAAGTGACGGTGTGAGAGAGAGTGTGAGAAAGTGACAGTGTGAGAGAGAGTGAGAAAGTGACAGTGTGAGAGAGAGTGTGAGAAAGTGAGAGAGAGTGAGAAAGTGACGGTGTGAGAGAGAGTGTGAGAAAGTGACAGTGTGAGAGAGAGTGTGAGAAAGTGACAGTGTGAGAGAGAGAGTGAGAAAGTGACAGTGAGAGAGAGAGTGTGAGAAAGTGACGGTGTGAGAGAGAGTGTGAGAAAGTGACGGTGTGAGAGAGTGTGAGAAAGTGACATTGTGAGAGAGAGTGTGAGAAAGTGACAGTGTGAGAGAGTGTGAGAAAGTGACATTGTGAGAGAGTGTGAGAAAGTGACGGTGTGAGAGAGTGTGAGAAAGTGACGGTGTGAGAGAGTGTGAGAAAGTGACAGTGTGAGAGAGAGTGTGAGAAAGTGACAGTGTGAGAGAGTGTGAGAAAGTGACAGTGTGAGAAAGAGTGTGAGAAAGTGACAGTGTGAGAGACACTGAGAAAGTGACAGTGTGAGAGAGTGTGAGAAAGTGACAGTGTGAGAGAGTGTGAGAAAGTGACGGTGTGAGAGAGAGTGTGAGAAAGTGACAGTGTGAGAAAGAGTGAGAAAGTGAGAGAGAGGTAGAGGGAGCAGGGGGTCTCACAGAAGAAGTCGTCGTCCTGGGGCTCCTCCACCTCTGTGTAGACTTTCCTCTCGCGCGGGCGCAGGCCGTAGCGAGAGCGAGCGCTGCGCGACACCGCCACAGCCTGGGCGGAGGCCGGCGGCACGGAGGAGCCTGCAGGCAAACACGGCGAGATGTTGACTACCTCTCCTGGTATACGGGAGGTCCTGGGTTCCATCCCATGGACTAAGTCTTCAATTATTGTTATGGTGTCAGGCACTGGAACCTTGGTGAAAAGAGAGATCACATCAAAGCTGACGAGGACATAATCAGGAGAAGACTTAGTCCAACATGGACTGAACTCTGATGTCCCTGTGCTGGTTAGGCACTGCCTCACCAACACGTACTTCACCTGGAATGGTACCTTCTACAAACAAAATGAGGGTACCCCTATGGGTTCCCCCTTGTCACCAGTGATAGCAAATGTTTTCAAGGAGAAATTTGAAACAGACGCCATCCAGACATTCACTCTGCGTCCTTCCCTGTCATTTGGCCACATGGCCTCCCAGCATTGAACCAATTTCTAGACCACATCAACTCCATACACTCATCCATCAAATTCACCATGGAAGTGGAGAAGGATGGCAAGCTACCATTCTTGGATGTTCTGTTTGAGAGGAGGCCCAATGGCTCTTTGGGACATTCTGTTTACAGGAAGGCAACCCACACAGATTCCTACCTGAAGCCTGATTCCCACCACCACCCGGCTCAAAATAATTCCCTCATCAAAACACTATACAATAGGGCCCACTGCATCTCTGACCAACACCACCTGGCCAGTGAATTAGAACACGTACATCTGGCCCTCAAGATGAACAGATACTCGGACCGTGCTATCCGCCAAGCTGTTTCTCCTACCATGGAGAAACAACCCCCTGAGACTCCGATCAAAATCATTAAATTTCGATTTAAAGCTTTCGTGACTGCAGGGATTCATCTTCTTGGTTCTTTCGGTAAAGTCACGTAGAAGGGAAGTAATAAAATAATAAAAATAAAACATAATAAGAACCAAGAAGACAAAATCATTAAGTTACCATACATAGCAGGCATTACCAAAAAGATATCCAAAATTCAAAACAAACGCAAGATCCAGATCCGATTCAGTACAGTACACAAAATCCGTGATCTAATCCCATCCGTAAAGGATCTTATTCCTGACTTACAGTACCCTGGTGTCTACAAACTGAGTTGCACCTGTGGTGATTATTATATCGGGGAAACGAAACGACATGTTTCTGACCGCATTCTCTGTAGTGGTTCGGTGACCCGAACCACTACAGAGATCAGAAGCACGACACATAGAGACCAGAACCACCACACACAGAGACCAGAACTACTACACACAGAGACCAGAACCACCACACACAGAGACCAGAACCACTACACACAAAGACCAGAACCACCACACACAGAGACCAGAACCACCACACACAGAGACCAGAAACACTACACACAGAGACAAGAACCGAATTCTTCGGCCATAGCTGACCATGATTATAACACTGCGGGTTCTCATGATATTGTGTTCTCCGATACCAAAGTACTCTGCAAGCCTCCTGGATACTACCAAAGATTTGTCCATGAAGCCATCCAGATACACAAACATAGACATAACTTCAACCGAGAGGATGGATTCAAACTGAACAATCATTGGAAAGATGTAATTAACCAAGTTAAACTTTAGCTACCGTGCAGTTTTTCTGCAAGGCAGTCAGTTTATTTTCTTGGTTCTTTTCGGTAAAGTCACGTAGAAGGGAAATAATAAAATAATAAAAATAAAACATCATAAAATAATTCTCACGACGTTTCGGCCACAACGCAAGCAGCCGTCCTCAGGTGAAGAACAGGTCTGTCGGAAAGACAGCGTCTGAATGCGCACCACCAAGCTTGGCAGCGTATATTTATGCTGGGTTAGAGGGGGAAGGGTGCCTTGACAAATGAATTTGCATATCAAGAGGAATTTAGCATATTTATGGGAAATGCAGATATGAGATTAGTCACTACTTGTGGAATGCGTAAGAGGTGGGGGGGGGTTTCGAAGTCATATTATGCCCGTGCATTATGCAGTATGCAGGATTAGCAGCATCAAAGGGAGGGAGTAGAGTTAGCAGTAATAGAGGGAAGGAATTTTAATAGTAAGGAGCTGCAGCAGCTAAACCACCACGTAAAGAACTAAAATATAAACTACATCAGTATCATCAATATACTAAATATACTCTCCAATAAGCTGAGCTACTAACAGTAAGTCATACATTACAATTCTATGTCGCAAAAAATATAATATGCCTCCAGCTAAACTTTTTTCTCTTACATCACACGGGTCTACCCCGTACTATATACTGCCATAGACAAACCCAACATTAAATTATATACTGCATTACTATACACCACCCTATACCTTAGACTATACATTGTAATATTACACTATGTATTATTCTGCCCACCCTACTGTATACCGCACTGCTGTATATTCACTATACATATCCATATTCCCAGCATTTTACTCCCAGCTTTACACACTACCATCACTATGAAATTTTACTCCAATCCCGGCTTACTCCCATCACTTGAAAAATGTGCCACACGTTGTTTCGAGCGTGCAAGTTTAGCTTGCACAACTCTAATTTACCCTCCTGCAGCATAACAAAGGATGTCTTTAATCGGCTTAACTTAGCTTTCTTATCTACTTCCGCCCCTGCATCACAAAGCTTCAGTTTGAACTCCATGCGTTACCTCCCAGCCCACACCCCGCCCCCGCACTCACCATGCCCCCTCCCCCCACAACTATATAATTCCTCATCACAGCCATCTCTTAGACACACTTAAGCGGTTGTGCTTTCGCTGAGTTGTCCCCACCTGAAGACTAGACGCTTGTGTTGCGCCCGAAATGTCGTGATTTAATTTAGTTGTTTTCATTTTAAATGTATTAAATATTTTTACCTACGTGACTTTACTGAAAAAACCAAAGAGTATGGATCCTTGCAGTCACGAAAACTTCTAATCTAGAAACATTAAGTTTATAGGCTGCATCAATACCAGCAGCAGCACTGACAGTAGCAGTAGTATCAACAGCAGTGGCGACTTTCATCAGCAGCAACAAAAGATTGCGGAGTTCCGGTGGGAATAAAGGGGAGCGTGGAATTGCGGTGGGAATAGAGGGGAGTGTGGAGTTCCGGTGAGAATAGAGGGGAGTGTGGAGTTCTGGTGAGAATAGAGGGGAGTGTGGAGTTCCGGTGAGAATAGAGGGGAGTGTGGAGTTCCGGTGAGAATAGAGGGGAGTGTGGAGTTCCGGTGGGAATAGAGGGGAGTGTGGAGTTCTGGTGTGAATAGAAATCACCGCTGCAGGCTACGCACCTCCACGTATCCTCTGGAGCGCCACCCTCAGGGCCTCCTTGCAGGCGGTGGCTCTGCGCTCCAGCCTGAACATCGCCATCCTGGCCTTGTGCACCTCCCTCAGCTCAAATCCCCTGAACTCCTCCTCCTCCTGCTGCTGCTCCTCCTCCACGCCCTGCAAGATGCTCCACAAGTACTCCAGGGCTTCCGCTTTAGTCTGAGCGGAGGGGGCGGTGGGGTGAGGGGGCGGAGGGGGTGTGGGGGGCGGAGTTGGTGCGGTGACCAGCGGTGGCTAGGAGATGTTAACTCCCTCGCCTGGTACGCAGGAGGTCGCGGGTTCGATCTCGACCCTGACACCTCATCGGATTCCTCCAGTACAATACATATTCTAATTCTGATATTCTGATTCTGTAAATCTGATTCCATACATCAAGCAGAACCATGCCGTCATGCTGAACCTCGGTGGGTATGGCAGGCCAAGCCTCTTCACAACTAAACTAATTAATAAACTAATTATAATAATAAGCCCAGACGTTGTACCAGAGTGCCATGCAGAAGGGGCATGGTAGCTAGGAGATGTTAACTACCTCGCCTGGTACGCAGGAGGTCATGTGTTCGATCCTGACCCTGATGTGGTGGTCGCTGCGTGGATTTTTCTCTGGGTCCTCCGGTTTTTCCCGTCACATTGAGAATCCGGATCGCTCGTTTTAGAGTATTTGACTCCCGCTAGAAATATTCACGTGATGATGATATCAGCCGCTTCGTTGAGCTATGAGTTGTGATAGCCGGGTACCGCTTGTAAAAGAAAGAGCGACTCCGTAGCTCAGTGAACCGTGACTCTGAGCTCCGTAACCTCCGAGTCTGCGATGGGACATCGACGTCTGCCCGTCTCGTGGAGTCTGCGCGCGTTGCAAACCCAGTGGTCATTGTCACCGTGGTCACAGTGTCTACGCTTGTCTACGCCCTTCTCAGGTTCTGTTCCATCACCTCGGATCCTAGAGAGGAGTGGCGAACGTCTCGTGTGTACGTGTTGTGTGTGTGTACGTTAGGTGTTTAGTGTATAGTAGTGTAGTGTATATTAGTGTATAGTGTAGTGTATAGTAGTGTATCATGGTGTAGTGTGTCGTGTAGTATTTAGTCATGAATAGTGTAGTGTATAGTAGTGTATCATGGCGTACGTCTCGTCTGTACGTGAGGCAGCGATAAGCGCGTGCCTGTTCCTATTTCTCTGTAATGATTGGAATTATACAGAAATTACATTTATAACACGGATGAGTGGAACATTTCTTTTTACTTTTCGTAACAGCTATTTTCATTGGAGTATATGACAGGCGAGACTCTGCCTCCCCTGACCGCACGTCCCTGGTATAGCAGTGTTTAGTAGTATGTATGTACGTTGAATTTATTTGGCACCGTACGTAGCCATCCTCGTTCATGGGAGGTGAGGGGGAAGGACAACAAACTAAAGACAACAGCAGCAGCAGCTGTAACGAGAGGAGTGCCGTGCGCTGTGCACAGAGACCTTGCGCTTGCTGGGAGCTGCCCTCGCGTGCCACTCTCCCACGGTGGCCCAGCGTGAAGCAGCCCCCTTGCCTCCTCCTGCGTGAACACACGCACACACGTGAACACACTCACGCACGTGAACACACTCGCGCACGTGAACACACGCACAAACACGTGAACACACGTGAACACACACACGTGAACACGCGCACGCACGTGAAAATACGCAACAACAACAACCGCCATTCGCCACTAATTGGCGGTGACGTCAACACGACGTTTGTGCCAGGCCATGTGCACCTTGAGGCCACGTGAAGTGTAGAACGCCCGCTGGCAGGAGGTCACGGGGCAGACCCAGGTGCCACGGGTCGATTGACTAAGATGACCGAGATGACTGGCTGATGCACCACCTGTGCCCCCTACTGTGCCAACTTGCTGTGCTTTTGCCACCCGGCGCTCCGCTCGTTGTTGTGAGCGTCGCTCCTCCGCCCTCCGTTGTTGTTGGAGGGCGTCCTTCACGAGCCTCCTCCACAGAGCCCGATCTTGACACCGCTGGTACCAGTCCTCGGCAAGTCCACTCAGCTCCATGTCCTCCTGTACCACATCGCCCCATCGCTTCTCTAGCCCGTGTCACGCCTGTTTAGCCCCCTCGATCCGGCCGAACAAAAGCTGTTTAGGCATGCAGTGGCTGGGCATGCGGGCTACATGACCCAGCCAATGCAGCCTTGCCTGCCGGAGGAGCTCACCGATGGGACTTTGCCCAGATCTTTCAAGGATTTGTGAGCTCCTCACACAATCCAGCCTGGTAAAACCCAGGATGGATCGTAGGCAGGCCAGCCTAAATGTTTCTAACCAGCGAAGATGTTCCATTAGGGGGGTCCACGTTTCGCAAGCGTAGAGAAGGAAGGGAATGACTGTGGCCGAGAAAACCTGAAGCTTCGTGCGGAGTGACAGACCAGGTAGCTTCCACACAGCGTTACGCAACCGATGAAAATATATTGCCGCTTGACTGATTCGGAGTGAGACCTCTACTGTTAAACTGGAGCCGGTCATAAGCACACTGCCCAGGTATGGGAAACTCTCCACTCTCTCCACAACTGCCCCATCACTGATTGGGAGTTGTGTGGGTGGAGTGTCCAATGGTACAAAATACCCAGGCAGGTGCTTAATTTTTGGTGGGGCTGATGGTAAGGCCCCACCTCCTAGTGGCATTCTCCAGTCTCAGCAGCAGCGTCTCCAACTCCTCCTCTGAATGAGCAGCTATTACTACATCATCGGCATACATAACGTGGTTGACCAATAGGGAGCCATCCCTTGATCGCACCCAGGCATCGATCAGCCTCCCATTATATCTACCAAATGGAAATTCCCTCGGTACAGCTATTGAAGGCTTCACGAACTACGTGGTCAAAATTGATGTTAAATAATGTGGGAGCCAGAGGACATCCCTGTCACACCCGAAGGTGTACAGGGAATGGCTCCGACTCCCGGCTACGTAGTTTTACCCGGGCCCGCTCACCATCATTAAGGTCCTTAATGATCGTGAGCAGAGGGTCAGGGACTCCGAAAGCACGAAGAACAACCCAGAGCCCAGGCCTACTGATGGTGTCATAGGCCTTGACCAGGTCAATAAAGCAGAGATGTAGGTCTTGTTGGAATTCCCTACACCTCTGCTGTAGCAGACGGACAGAAAATATGGCATCTGTGCAGGACCGCCCTTTCCTGAAACCGCATTGGGGATCCGCAAGCCTCTCCTCAGCGTGCCTAGCAAGGCGATGTTGAATAATCCTTGCCAGCACCTTTCCCGGCACACTGAGGAGTGAGATGCCCTTGTAGTTGTTACAGTCTGTGCGGTCCCCCTTCTTAAAGAGGGAGACCACCAGGGCACCCTTCCAATTCTGCGGTACCCGTCCAGTGGTCCAGACTGTTGTTATGATGTCATATAGGGCAGTCTGTGCACAAACGCCACCCTCCCTCATCATTTCGCTTGGGAGATCATCTCTGCCCGGTGGCTTTCCTGGTCTCAGACTCCGGATCTCCTTCAGTACTTCCTCAACAGATGGCATCTCAGCCAGCCACTCACAGAGGGTGACTTCTTCCAATATTTGAGGCACCACAGCCTCAGCAGGGTCATCCCCACTTTGTGCCATGATGTTTTCCTGGCTGAGGGATTTCCCCTCCCCCAGGACCTCACAGAAATGCTCAGCAAATCTGCAAACCTGTTCCTGGGGGTCGGAGATTGGATCACCGTTTTTTCCCCTAATGATGGTAATCGGTGTGGCGCTGGAGGTTACTTTTTTGATGGAGTTAAATAGTGATTTGTGATCGTGGGCCACTGAGGCAGACTCCATCTCCTCAGCAACCCGTGACCACCACCCATCCTTGCAGCGCCTTACGGCTCTTCAACCCTCCGAGCGAAGGTTGCGGTAAGCCTCCTCATTGTCTGACGTGGGATGCTGGAGCCGATGAGAGTGGGCCTGTCACTTTTTCTCAACTATCCTGAACACCTCCTCTGTCAGCCAGGGTCTCTGGGGAGTTCTGGAACGCGTACCCAAAGCAGCCATTGCAGCTGCATGAGTCACAGTCCTAAACCTCGCCCATTTACCCTCGACATCAGGAAGACTGGGGGATGATGCCACAACCCCAGCCGCAAGCGATGATGAAATTCTCACTTGCAACTTTCATCAGCTAACTAAAACCAGGCCACTTTAGGTTGGAATGGGGTCCTGGGTGTACACCCACCACCAGAGTGGAAGAATGGCAGGCGCATCTTACAGATGACTAGTCGATGGTCAGAGGGCAGATCAGCTCCACGGTACAGTAGGTCCTGGTGTCAAAGACATGGGTTCGCATCCGCTGGTCCATCACTATGTAGTCCAGCAGATGTTCTTGCTTGGACCCGGCATGCATCCATGATGTTGTGTGGATGCGCCGATGTCGGAAGAGCGTGTTGGTAATTACAAGCCCATGGGCTGCACAAAAATCTAGCAGCCTCCTACCGTTGTTATTGAACTGATCTGGCCCATGCCCTCCAATCACTCCAGACCAGGTGCCAGTATCATGACCAACTCGGGCATTGAAGTCACCCAACAAGATGACTCTATCCCGAGTGGCCACTTTAGCCAGTACCTGTGACAGGAGGTCATAGAAGGCATCTGAATCATCGGCTTTGCCTGCATCCCTCCACGGATGTTCGTCTTCGGTGGGGGCATAAGTAACCACGACCACCACTCCTCGCCTCCTGTTGATGGGAAGGCGAGCCCAAAGTAGCCTGGGCCTTACAGCTTCCCACACCTCATCGCCACGCTCCCAAGCCCCCTTCATTCTTTTGTTCATAAGAAGAACACACGCACACACGTGAACACCCGCGAACACACGCACGCACGTGTCCATGTGTGTGAACACATGGATACCCGTGAACACACGCACACACGTGTGAACACACGGACGCGCATGAACATATGCAAAGACAAATATCCCCCGTATAGCCTTAGCAGACTGTAGGGGCAAGTGCTGTTAGTGAGCCAGAACGGTACACGAGGGGGTCGGTGGCCAGCACCACGCCCGACCGCCTTTGTCTCCCCAGTGGCGATGTTTACACACTGTACCAGGTACTAATTTGAAGGTGAGTTGACCTAGGGGAGGCCCAGGACCAGTTTAGATAATCGTCACTGGTGTTGACCGTGAGCAGAAATCGAACCCGGGTCGCCAGGTTCATAGCGCAGACTGCTAACCAGTTTAACATGTAGGATTTCGCAACCAATATTATTAATTTTTTGGGTTATATCGCGTAAATATGAATGTGTCGTTAAACCCGTCACCACCCGACGCAGCCAATCCGTAAGGTTTGTCAGGTAAAGAAAACGTGCCAATTAGTTACTAGTTCAGCACTAACCGGTTGTGTGTTGGACAGTAAACCCACAAAATTCACAATTCGAGAATGGTACTGTGATGTTCCACTGGTGATTACAACCAGCTTCATCAAGCGAGTCTACAGGGGATCTCTGTGTGAGTCTACAGGGGGTCTCTGTGTGAGTCTACAGGGGGTCTCTGTGTGAGTCTACAGGGGGTCTCTGCACGGTCTGCAAGCGCCCTTTTACGTTTGCCTCTTCGTCCTCCGTGCATCGCCACCTCCTTCCTCTTCCTCCTCCCCGTCCACTCCTCGTCGGAGTCGCTCGACCGCCCGCACTCCGCTCCATTCCCCCTCGCCCTGCGCTTGCCGCGTGCGCGCATGAACTCGGGCTGGGCCGGGTTCATCCCTGCGCAAGGAGGCAGTCGGTCATTGTTATTTGTACGTATTGGCAGTACACCCGTGCAGCATAGCAACACACCGGGTCCTCGTAACACAGTCCTGACGATGTGATTACTATCAGAGCGTGTTTGTTTGCGTGTTCAACACAAGTACGCGTGGTTAATGCAATAACTTGATTCCTTGCAAAAAGGAATCATCTATTTGGTGTGTGAACATCTTAACAGCTCCTGTTTTATTGCCAGAAAGGGTAAAACCGATTCCTATTTTTTATACTTTGATTCTGGCAAAAAGGTCCAATGATATAGCTACTCACCCCGAGCTATAAATGCTCTTGACACTGCATTGTCTTTGTACTGGTCGCCTTTTGGTGTTGTTCTCTGGTCTGACACTGGTGAGACTAGGCCATGAAGAAGGCTGTCTCTGGGGTAGACCAATCAGTATCAAAGACAATGATTAAATGTTATCAGAGAGTGTTTGTTTGCGTGTTCAGTACGCGTGGTTAATGCAGTAACCTGATTCCTTGCAAAAGCTATAATCTATTTGGTGTTTGAACATCTTAACACCTCCTGTTTCATTCCCATAAAGAGTAAAACCGATTCTTATTTTTCATAGTCCCGACGATGTCGCCGTTGCCCCTTGAGTGAGCTGCAGGACTCTCCATCAGAAGTTGCACTCAGATTCAGCAGCCGCGTCCCCCATTCCGAACGTGCGGTGGCGACACCACGAGTCGTATCGAGGCACCGTCCGACCGAGTCTCTAGGGGCACGAGGAGTCCAATCTTGCCACTGGAGCACGGAGCAGCCGATCGTCATCAGACTGGGCGCCGCTGTACGGCAACAGACTGCGAAGCTTCGTGTTCAGTGCTGCTCATGTCACGTTCCGTCTTCCCACCGCTTTGGCATCACGACAACTGATTTTGACGCACCACCACCACCCCAAAATATCCTTCTGTCTGGGGTCTCGAATCGCGAGGAAATAAATAACTTTTGTCAAAAATGTGATGATTATTTCATACAGCGCAACGGTGTACCGCTACTACGTTCATTTATATTATTTGGCTGCTACAATAACCCCAAGCAATACAGTAAACACGATAGGAGTGCAAAGTATAGAAAAGGTAAACAAATTACACACACACAAAATACATTTTTTTGTAAATATTCTTTGGTTCTTTCGGCAAAGTCACGTAGACAGAAAAATAAAGTGAATAAAAATAATCAAAAACCACAAAAAGTTCATCCTCACTGATGTTGCTGACTGGTATCTTAGCGCTTTTGAGGGTTGCAGCAATTTCAGATCTTGTAACGTCTGCAGCGATGCGCCCCAAACCCTTAAGAGCGACATCGACCTGGGCAATAACGTCATCAACTGGAATGTGTTTGGGGGTGACTGAGAAGTTCAACCCTTTAGCCAAAACCGACTTTAGACCATCGCACATTGGGCTATTACTCAGATTAATAACAACCTTGTCAACGTCTAACCTTTTAACGTGTGGATCTGGTTTCTTGTTAGAAAGGAGGTTGAACTCGAAAATCAGATCTTTACATTTCGCTGACATTGTAGTGGCTGATTAAGCGGTCATGTTATCTACATGTTCCCAATCAGATGTCGACATTTTTCCCGTCAATGTTAAGTATGATTTCAAGAGTGTCTTGTCTACATGATCTAGTTCAGTATGGAGCAGTCTAATTCTCTCTGAGATCAGGGCCAAGCTCGCCCTGAACAAAATTCGTCTGGCATTGGAAGATGTGACTGCAGCAGAAATCAGTGTCGATGAGATCGGTATTACGTTAGAGTCACGGCATCTCTTCAGAAATGTGAGTGACTCGATCAGATGAACTTTCTTGTCACGGAGATTGTTAAAAGATCTCATGGTTATGTGGAAACCCTCCCAATAGAGGCAGTTCAAATGATACAAATTAAGTGAATAAAAAATTATAAAAATAAGACACTAATTAGACTGCTCCATAAAAAAAACACTAATGTATACATTTCAATTTAAAGCTTTCGTGACTGCAGGGATTCATCTTCTTGGTTCTTTCGGTAAAGTCACGTAGAAGGGAAATAATAAAATATTAAAAAGAAAACATTAAAATTGTATTTTAATAATTGTATTTTATGTTTTTTTTTCCCTTCTATGTGACTTTACCGAAAGAACCAAGAAGACTAATTTATAACTCAAAAGTTTTGATTATACATGAGTGCTTTATCATTTTTATTATTCACTTTATTTTTATTTTAGTTTTTCTATCTACGTCACTTTATCGAAAGAACCAAAGAATATGAATTCCTGCAGTCACGAAAGTTTTAAGTCAAAATAAACTATTTTTGTAAATGTTGTGGGTTTACTCTCCAACATTATGAATCCGTAGGTAAAAAATAAAATTTAAATTAATAAAAGTACTTTTATAAATTTTAATTTTACTTTGATTAATTTTAATTTTATTTTTTACCTACGTGACTTGAATTATGAATCCGATGAGCTATGAAGCTCTTTTTCATAGATGTCCCATAGGGGGCACGGGGTCAGAAAGTTACAACAACACAAAACACAAACACGATAGGCGTGCAAAGTAGAGTAAAGGTAAACAAATCATTAAACTAAAACTAAATCTATTTTTACTTCACCAGGTGAAGTCCACTGAGCTATTGGCTCCGTCTTCAGAAGCGACCTGGCTGCCACAAATGACAGCTCAACCAAGTGGCTTACCACGTGGACATTTATAGCAGCAGACAAATACTCTAAACGCGTGATGTTGATGCTACAAGTGGAGCAAAAACCCGGAGGACCGGGATCTAACCCACGACCTCCTGTAGACCATGAGAGGTAGTTAACATCTCACCGGGGAGAGACACACGCAGACTCCAGATATATGACAGGCATCGTCAGGGTCGCCATCGAACCCAAGACCTCCTGTAGACCAGGCGAGGTAGTTAACATCTCACCGGGGAGAGACACACGCAGACTCCAGATATATGACAGGCATCGTCAGGGTCGGGATCGAACCCACGACCTCATGTAGACCAGGAGAGGTAGTTAACATCTCGCCACCATGGCGCCCCATGCATGCCACTCTGCTACGACGTCTTGGTCTCATCATTATAATTACTGCGACAATTAGTTTAGTTGCGAAGAGGCTCGGCCTGTCGTACCCACCGAGGTTCAGCAGGACGGCGTGGTTCTGCTGGATGTTCCTGTAGCGCCGCTTCTCGCACTCGGCCAGATCGCTCCACTCGGCCTTGGTGAAGAAGCCTCTGATGTCTCGGAAGTCGCCCATCTCCTGCTGCTGCTGCTGAGGCGCAGAGACACGGAGGGACGAGACGCGGACGACGGTCAGACGCAGTCACGGAGATGGAGTCACACGGAGACAGAGTCACACGGAGACAGAGTCACAGGGAGACAGAGTCACAGGGAGACAGAGTCACAGGGAGACAGAGTCACACGGAGACAGAGTCACAGGGAGACAGAGTCACACGGAGACAGAGTCACAGGGAGACAGAGTCACACTGAGACAGAGTCACACGGAGACAGAGTCACAGGGAGACAGAGTCACACTGAGACAGAGTCACACTGAGACAGAGTCACAGGGAGACAGAGTCACACTGAGACAGAGTCACACGGAGACAGAGTCACAGGGAGACAGTCACACGGAGACAGAGTCACACGGAGACAGAGTCACAGGGATACGAGACTAAGATCCCCCGTGTGGCCTTAACAGACTGTCGGGTCAAGCGCTGTGAGCGAGTAGCGGCGCCTATGAAGGCCGGAACGACACACGAGGGGGGGGTGGGTGGCCAGCACCACGCCCGGCCGCCTTTGTCTCCCCAGTGGCGATGTTCACTACACACCGCTACACCAGGAACTCATTTGAGGCCGAGTCGACCTAGGGGATGAGGCCCAGGACCGGTTCAGAAAATCGTCACCGGTGAGGTAACTTTACCTCAGATGAGGTAACTTCACTTCATGCGAGGTAACATTACATTAGGTGAAGTAAAATTACTTCAGGTGAGGTAACTTTTCCTTTACCTCATGCGAGGTAACGTTACCTCGCGGGAGGTAACATCACCTCAGGTAAATGTAACATTACTTGAGGTAATCCGAACGTATTCACATCACTTCAGCTAATGTTCATATTTTTACGCTAATATCGTAATATCGTCACGTGGTTAAATCGTTAAACACAACGCTCGCGTGACGTCACCACCTCAGTGTCGAGCCGTCGACACTTCACGCGGCAGCCTCGAAGTGCACCCAGCCTGGCACAGGCGCTGTGGTGACGTCACCGTCACTCAGTGGCCAATGGCGGCGGTTGGTGGTGGTGGGGGGGGAGTGGGAGGTGGGGGGAGAGTGGCGGTTGGGGGAGTGGGGGGTGGGAAAGAGGGGGACGAGGGGGTGGTGGTGAGTGGGGGCGGAATGGCGGTTGGTGAGTGGTGGGAGGGGGGAATTGAGGGTGGGAGGGGTGGGGGGAGTGGGGGGTGGGAGGGGTGGGGGGGAGGAGGGGGTGGGGGTGAGTGATGGGGTGGGGGAGTGGTGTGGGAGTGATGGGGTGGGGGGAGTGGGGGTGGGGGAAGTGGCGGGGAGTGAAGGGGGGTGATGGGGTGGGGGGAGTGGGGGTTGGGGGGGGTGATGGGGTGGGGGGGTGATGGGGTGGGGGGGAGTGATGGGGTGGGGGGAGTGGGGGGAGTGATGGGGTGGGGGGAGTGATGGGGTGATGGGGTGGGGGGAGTGGGTGGGGGTTTTATACTGGTAGGAACGAAGTGGACCAGACCACCAATAGATTAATGTGTCCATCCGTCCGTCTGTCCGTCCGACTGTCCGTCCGTCCGTCCGTGTATCAACATCGCCCCCTACTGCAAACACTTGGCATGACCCTACAAAAACCTTTAGACTCAGTTACGCTATCCTGGTAGCAACATCGCCCCCTACTGCAAACACTTGGCATGACACGTGTAACATTCCCTTATTCCCTGAGATAGCTTTTAATTAAAACTTTGAAATTAAATAAAAAAAACTCACAGCGCCCTAAAGCCTACAGCTAGGCCTAAAGCCTAGAACTAGGCCTGAAACTCTCCCTTCGTATCGTACCCCCGCGTGTGTGAAAGGGAGTTATGTTTAACAATGTTACATTCCCTCATGTTTTTAAATAGAAACATTTAAATTTAAAGCTTTTATATAAATCATTAAAACATTTAAATTAAAAATTTACTCACAGCGCCCTAAAGCCTACAGCTAGGCCTAAAGCCTAGAACTAGGCCTCAATCTCTCCCTTCGTATCGTCCGATTTGGTGTAGCAACATCGCCCCCTACTGCAAACACTTGGCAGGACCCTACAAAAACCTTTTGACTCAGTGGGGCTTTCCTGGCTTAACAAGTGTAATAATAAACTTCGCTTCAAATTTACTTTACTGAAACGCAGCACGTTTTTTAACACAGAGACAAGATACATTTATTAACACAGAGACAAGATACATTTAATCGCCTTATTTGTGCACGAAAAGCACGGCGCGAGGCCTACTTCGGAAAAGGCTTCGCGAGGCCTACTGCAGAGAAGGCTTCGCGAGGCCTACTGCAGAGAAGGCTTCGCGAGGCCTACTGCAGAGAAGGCTTCGCGAGGCCTATTGCAGAGAAGGCTTCGTGAGGCCTACTGCAGAGAAGGCTTCGCGAGGCCTACTGCAGAGAAGGCTTCGCGAGGCCTACTGCAGAGAAGGCTTCGCGAGGCTTACTGCAGAGAAGGCTTCGTGAGGCCTAGTGCAGAGAAGGCTTCGCGAGGCCTACTGCAGGAGGCTTCGCGAGGCCTATTGCAGAGAAGGCTTCGCGAGGCCTACTGCAGGAGGCTTCGTGAGGCCTAGTGCAGAAGGCTTCGTGAGGCCTAGTGCAGAAGGCTTCGCGAGGCCTATTGCAGAGAAGGCTTCGCGAGGCCTAGTGCAGAAGGCTTCGCGAGGCCTACTGCAGAAGGCTTCGCGAGGCCTAGTGCAGGAGGCTTCGCGAGGCCTACTGCAGGAGGCTTCGCGAGGCCTAGTGCAGAAGGCTTCGCGAGGCCTACTGCAGGAGGCTTCGCGAGGCCTACTGCAGAAGGCTTCGCGAGGCCTAGTGCAGGAGGCTTCACGAGGCCTACTGCAGGAGGCTTCGCGAGGCCTAGTGCAGAAGGCTTAGCAACATTGACATTTAAAGCTTCAACATAAATAATTAAAACATTTATATTAACAATTAACCCACGGCGGCCTAAGGCCTACAGCTAGGCCTAAAGCCTAGACCTAGGCCTCAAGCTCTCCCTTCGTATAGTTCCGTGTGTGAAAAGAAAGTAAATGTTTAACAATGTTACATTCCCTGATGTTTTTAAATAGCAACATTTACATTTAAAGCTTCAACATAAATAATTAAAATATTTATATTAACAATTAACCCACGGCGGCCTAAGGCCTACAGCTAGGCCTAAAGCCTAGACCTAGGCCTCAAGCTCTCCCTTCGTATAGTTCCCCTGTGTGTGAAAGGCAGTAAATATTTAACAATGTTACATTCCCTGATGTTTTTTAATAGAAACATTTACATTTAAAGCTTTTTCATTAAAAACAACTCCCTACCTCCCCCCCCTCGTCGGCGGCTCTCCAGCCGAGCCAGGCCTGGGAATCTCTCCCCCGCTCGGGATGTATTGGGCGGGGCTACAGCGGCAGGGGGCGGGGCTACGCGGCAGGGCTACGCGGCAGAGGGCGGGGCTACGCGGCAGGGGGCGGGGCTACGCGACAGGGGGCGGGGCTACAGCGGCAGGGGGCGGGGCTACGAGGCAGGGGGCGGGGCTACAGCGGCAGGGGGCGGGGCTACAGCGACAGGGGGCGGGGCTACGCGGCAGGGGGCGGGGCTACAGCGACAGGGGGCGGGGCTACGCGGGGCTGGGCGGGGACACCGAGATGGGGCGGGGCCACGGGTGGCGGGGCGGGGTTACGCGGGTGGAGGGCGGGGCCACGGGGGCGGAGCGGGGCCACGGGGGAGCGGGGCGGGGTCAAGCGGTGGGAGGCGGAGCTTAGCGCGATGGAGGGAGGGGCCGTTGGCGAAAAGGGGCGGAGTCTACAGTCGAGAATACAGTACCGGGGGCGAGGAGGCGGGGCTAACAGTGATAGGGGCGTGGCCCACGGCGCTGCATTTCGTGCAGATTGTTACTACTCACTGTCTGCTCCAAGCTGCACTCACGTAGGTACATACTTGTGCAATACTATTATTTTTTTGCAGAACGGTTACTACTACTTTATTGTTTCTTATGTTCCACTACGTCTACGTTTCCATCCACTAATTGGCGCCCATTTTTTGCCATTTCATTTTATTATAGCCATTCAATTGTTCGGTCCTACCAGCCCACCCCACAGGGACCTGTTTTCACCAACGCACAGCAATATTCGTTCCAAGACCAACCCCGGGCACACGTCCCACAGCCCCTTTTAACTCCTCAATCTCCGCTCCCAATACACATTCGCGTCCAGCACGCCTGGTCCGGGTGACGTCACTGCCCTTTAACCCCTGACCCCCCCGTCCAGCTCTTATTTCCCGCGCGTGTGAAAAAAAATTAAGATTGATTGGTGCGTGTTGTCGTGAGAGCGGAGATGTCGTGTTTGCGTGGTGCGTGAGGGTGGCTCGCAGATCCCTTGAAGTGCTTGAACCATTCACCGACTCCTCTTCACATGTAATCTGACCGCTCAAAAAGAGCGAGTTTTATTCTTTAAAAAAACACGATACTTTCTTCCAATAGCCATCCCAATTTATTCTAAACCATGTTCCATGATTGATGCAATGTTGGAATGCTGCTCAAATACCGTTCCTAAATTAGACATAAAGGGTATCTGGAATGAGCAGAGAATTCGTTTAATTGCGTGCAATTTGGGACGAGGGCAACTCGACGACGGTGTCCTTATTAATAACAAAACCCCTGTGTACGACTGTCCGAGCTCTTTGCAAGCAAGTGGGTGGCTCTGAAAAGAGCCGTTGTTGTGGTGGTAGAGGCGGCGGCGCGTTCACTTCTTTGCCTGAGAGGTCTTCTTGGGCAGCAGCACGGCCTGGATGTTGGGCAGCACACCGCCCTGGGCGATAGTCACGCCGCCCATGAGCTTGTTGAGCTCCTCGTCGTTTCGCACGGCGAGCTGCAGGTGTCGGGGGATGATCCTCGTCTTCTTGTTGTCGCGGGCGGCATTGCCAGCCAGCTCGAGGATCTCGGCAGAAAGGTACTCGAGCACGGCGGCCAGGTAGACGGGTGCTCCAGCGCCGACCCGCTGGGCGTAATTGCCCTTGCGGAGCAGCCTGTGAACGCGACCCACGGGGAACTGCAGGCCGGCGCGGGAAGAGCGGGACTTTGCCTTGGCGCGAGATTTGCCACCGGTCTTGCCGCGTCCAGACATCGTTAAGGGACCTAGGATGCAAAAAGCACTGGAGACAAAGTACGAACGATTTGTGACGTTAACACGCACCACCGGAGCGGCTTTTATAGCGGAGACGAGGATCGTAGAGCGCGCCGCTGCTGATTGGCTCCTCTCGCTCGAGTCCCGCCCTCTCCTTGAGCCACCAATGACAAGCCGGGACGCGAGGATTCGATGTTGACTTTCATTATTTGTATCCATATATATTTTAATGCGGACACGCATCTTATGAATTAAACAATGCGATACACGTACTTAATAGGTTCAAGTTTTAAGCATGATAGAGTTAATTTATGGGCGCGTGCTGGCAAGTCAAACTTATAAGCGGATTCCGCAAATATCAATGTATTATTGATTATAATCATCATTTTGAGGGACCGCATTGGTTATAATAAATCATTGTGATAGCCTTGAGCTCGTGATTGATCGCCCACGTGCCTATACGGTGTATAGATATTTTTTTTAACCGCCTGTTCGGGCAATGCCTAAAAATATATGTGCGTGAATAATTCAGTCTCAGTTTGCAAAATGTGAACTTCTTATCAGCTCGGGCTTGAAACAGCATAAACCAATATCTTTGGGTTTAATCTATATATATAAAATCGTGAATGTCTGTCTGTCTGTGTGTGGATGTCGGACCATACGCACTTTCATTGGACGCCGGTTGCCCCTGCCAACGCCTAGCGACGTCTTCGCCGCTTTCATTGGACGCCGGTTGCCCCTGGCAACGGCTAGCGACAGGCTAGCAGTTGCGGGGTGGACGCCATCTTTAATTCCCGTTAAAAATAGGCGCACGCATTAACACGCGACTCTGAGGTAAATTCATCTAAGTTTCACGTCCTCTTTACTCCCCCCCCCCCACCACAATGTGTGCTATTACTATTATAGGGTCGGTAGATTATTAAATTATAGCGATTACACAGTATTATTGAAGCGCGGGGGGGGGGGGGGGGAAACGGCACCCGTACCCAGCGTCAGCCGGGTGGCAAAATCAGGCGAGGCGGGAGGCTCTGCACGGTGCTAGGCCTCCACACCCACCACGCGACTCTGAGGTAAAATACATTTCACCAAAATAACCCTTTTGTTGTACATTATGTAAACATGGTTTCACAACGCTTATATACAACACCAACGTGTGATGTTGAAAATATGAGCGGCGGGGTATAGAAAATGAACTTGATTGTCGCTTACGCCTGACGACTCGTGAGAGCCGTGACCAGCAAACGAAGGTTTCCGGCACCCGAACTTTGAAGGACACACATGGAAGCTTTCTCACGAGTAAGTGGTGGCTCTGAAAAGAGCCTTTGTGTTGTGCTTTGAGGGCCGAGCTGGGCGTTCAAGCGCGCTCGCCACGAATGCGGCGGGCGAGCTGAATGTCCTTGGGCATGATGGTGACGCGCTTGGCGTGGATGGCGCACAGGTTGGTGTCCTCGAAGAGCGCGACAAGGTACGCTTCGCTGGCCTCCTGCAGAGCCATGACAGCGGAGCTCTGGAAGCGCAGGTCGGTCTTGAAGTCCTGCGCGATCTCCCTGACGAGGCGCTGGAAGGGCAGTTTGCGGATGAGCAGCTCGGTGGACTTCTGGTAGCGGCGGATCTCGCGCAGAGCGACGGTGCCGGGCCTGTAGCGGTGAGGCTTCTTGACGCCGCCCGTGGCCGGAGCGCTCTTTCGGGCCGCCTTGGTGGCGAGTTGCTTGCGGGGGGCCTTGCCGCCCGTGGACTTGCGAGCCGTCTGCTTGGTGCGAGCCATGGCTTGGTGAGGGCAAAGATTCTCACAGGCGGGGAGGAGAAGGCGGCTTATGTAGCCCAGAGCGCGCGCTCACTGGTCAGCGGAGTCGTGACGTGCGAAGAAGGGGCGCGTGCTGATTGGTTGGCAGCGTGCAATGATCTCGAGTCGTCAACTCTTCTTCATCAACGAAATGTTCTCACTTTGGAGCATTGCAGAATGCCGCATCACGATGCAGTAGTTCCGTTTGAGCGCCGTCCATGTCCTTAACGGATGTTATTTTCTCAAGCAAACACCTTTCCGAAAACAACTTTACAGTGCTCCGCGTGATCTAAATAAAGTGTGCAGAAACTGCGCTTCATTGGAAACAGTAATACGTAAAAAATATTCTTTGTTTCTTTCGGTAAAGTCACGTATAAAGAAAAAAATAATAGCATACGACGTTTCGATTGCAACACAAGCAATCATCATCAGGTATAATGAAATAGCGACATAAAATCGAACCAGAAAAAATTATAGACAGACATATAAGCAGACAGATATCAACAATTTGTTTCTTTATATACGTGACTTTACCGAAAGAACCAAAGAATAATTCCTGCAGTCACGAAAGCTCCAAAGTTAATACGTGAAAATGTCGGAAAGGTGATCACAGGGATAGATATCTATTCTCTTGGCATTGAGATGATGATCATCAATTATACTGCACGAGTCATCCATGCTAGGCGCTTACTTTTACATAGATGTACACGTGCAAAATGTTAGTTCCTGCCCGAAAATACAACCACGAATTAAATATATTGCATTGCAAGGTTTTGGCACCAAATATCCAATGTAATATCTGAATGGGCTGCAGATGAAATCAATGGACAAACAAGTCCAAGAAATGCCTGCTGGTGAACATGATGTGCCATGAATATTGTTATCGCTTTTATTCACGTGGAAACAGGTTAAAATGCGTTCCATCTCTCCATTTCCACTCAATGAGCGAACAATGTCCCCGCGTGAACCGGGGCTTTGTTGGAAGTTTCGTTTAGTACTCCTGCTAGGACTGGTACAAGCAGGTTCGGAGAGGTGGGTGGCTCTGAAAAGAGCCTTTGTAATTAATGGTGGAGTCGAGGCTTCACTTGGAGCTTGTGTACTTGGTGACGGCCTTGGTGCCCTCCGACACGGCGTGCTTGGCCAGCTCGCCGGGGAGCAGCAGTCGCACTGCGGTCTGGATCTCCCGAGAAGTGATGGTGGAGCGCTTGTTGTAGTGCGCCAGGCGGGACGCCTCGGAAGCGATGCGCTCGAAGATGTCGTTGACGAACGAGTTCATGATGCTCATTGCCTTGGACGAGATGCCGGTATCGGGGTGCACCTGCTTCATCACCTTGTAGATGTAAATGGCGTAGCTCTCCTTCCTGCGGTGGCGTCGCTTCTTGCCATCCTTGCGCGTAGCCTTGGTCACAGCCTTCTTGGAGCCCTTCTTGGGAGCAGGAACCTTGGCCGGCCCAGCGCTCTTTGATGCGGGAGGATCGGGCATGTCGACGCGTCGTAGGCAGCAGCTTCAGGTCAGAACAGACGGGAAGCGAATGTGGATGTCGCTCGCGCGTTGAGCTCCTTTTATAGGAGGCGAGATGCAAATCAGAGGATCGTAGTGCGCGGCGCTGCTGAGTGGCTCTTTTAGTACCGTCCCTCTCCATCAGCCTCCAATGAGAAACGCGGACGCGATGTTCACTTTAATATCGATTTTACTGCAAAAAGGACTTGTGAATATAACACAATGTAATGTCCAAACATGTGTATTAGTGAATTGCAGCCATGGCATTGCCTTTGTTTAAAAAGGATGACTAGAAAACCCAATACAGTATATTGTGTTTTGAGCGTGGGTTTTTTTGTTTCTTACGAGGGATTGTTTCACCACTCGTCTAATACGGCGCACGGGCGTTTTATGAACGCAATTTGGAAAAATACAAGCGCTCGGTGGAGAAAAATAACTTCGCTGTTGTGCTGTACAGGTGGAGATTAGCATTCCGGCACGCTCCGTCAATTAGGACGAGTGTGCTGTAAGATTGTGGCGCCAAATGCTCTACGTAATATCGTATTCGGCTGCAGCTGGAAATAATTAACGCAAAATACCAGAAATGGGTACTGTATTAAGGCGTTCAAGAATTACGCCTTGTTAAATGTGACGTGAATATCATGATTTCTTTCATTCATTCATGTGGAAGCAGATGAAGATTCGCCAACTCAACAAGCGAACGTCCAGCACGCTCACAACAACCCAGGACATGTGCTCCATTCAGAGCGTGTTTGGCAACACTGGCGCAAGCAGTTTCGAAGAGGTGGGTGGCTCTGAAAAGAGCCTTTGGGTTGGCTTAGTGTGCGAGAGATGGGCGCTCAGCCTCCGAAGCCGTAGAGAGTGCGGCCCTGGCGCTTGAGGGCGTAGACCACGTCCATGGCGGTGACGGTCTTGCGCTTGGCGTGCTCCGTGTAGGTGACGGCGTCGCGGATGACGTTCTCAAGGAAGACCTTCAGGACGCCGCGGGTCTCCTCGTAGATGAGGCCCGAGATGCGCTTCACACCGCCGCGGCGAGCGAGGCGGCGGATGGCGGGCTTGGTGATGCCCTGGATGTTGTCGCGCAGCACCTTGCGATGGCGTTTTGCGCCTCCCTTGCCGAGCCCCTTACCGCCTTTACCGCGTCCAGACATTGCGACTACTTGTGACAAAGCTCCTCGCGAGAGACTGCGCGCTCAGCTTGCAGCAGCAGCCGCCTTTATACCCGAAGCGTGGCGACGTCACCGACCACCCCTGCCCTCCGCGATGGCTCCGCCTTAAACCTTCCACCTTTAACCTCTGCGACGAAGAAAACCCTCCACCGTCGTCAATAACACTTCCTTGACATGTATAATATGCGACGTTTTGGGCAATGGCCCTTCTTCGAAGCACTCTGGAATGATATTGGCACACCCGCAGCGAACGCGAGAGGAACGCGATCTGTTGCAAGATTGCACGTGGAGTGAATAATCGGTGTAAGGTCTTGTTTGCAAGTGAACAAGATGAACTAACTTTATAATCGTGTGAAGCTTAACGGCTTCCAACACAATAGTTGAGTGAACGTCACCAACTAGTTGTCCCAAAGTAAGAAAGACATTGCAAACAATGCGATATTTACGTATAGTAAATTAATTTAATAGAGAAGTTTAGATGGTGCACCGCAATGTTTACAAAACAAAAACAAAGTGAAAAGGCGGAACGAGCGAATGAAGGCAAATTGAGTAAAGCTGTCTGGAATCAATACATTTTTAGACTAAATTCCATATTTGGCACCAGTAACATGATGACGGAATGAAGAGGTGCAACACATAATCAAAATTGGAGGTTCGTCAAGAATGCATCGATTTTGAATCTGGATTTAGATTAGAATCGCCAGCGAGAATGCTGACGTCGCTGAGATTACTCTGCACTCAGTTCGAGTGAGGGAGCTGCCACCCGCCTCGCCTGTGTTTGTGATCCCTGCTTTCGGGCTCGATCACTCCCATCACATCAATGCTTAAAACACATCGAGTGGGTGAAATGTTACACAGTTAATTTGAACTAATTGAAGCGCAGCAGCATCTGGTTCACTTTTTTAACGAAGTGGGTGGCTCTGAAAAGAGCCGTTGAGGTGGAGTGAATCGAGCGTCGGTCGTCCCATCGGATTCACTTCTTTGGCGCAGTCTTCTTGGGCTTGGCCGCGGCCTTCTTGGGCTTGGCCACCTTGGGTTTGGCGGCCTTGGCCTTGACGGTCTTGGGCTTAGCGACCTTGGGCTTCGCAGCCTTGGGCTTGGCTGGGCTCTTCGCCGCCTTCTTGGGCTTAACAGCCGACTTCACCTTTTTGGGGCTCTTGGCCGCCTTGGCAGCCGCGGGCTTCTTTGCTTTCTTGGGAGACTTCTTGGGCGCGGTCTTCTTGGCTGCCGCGGGCTTCTTCACCTTCTTGGCTGCCGCGGGCTTTTTAGCTGCGGGCTTTGCCGTTGACGACTTGGGCTTCGCCTTTGCGGCAGCCTTTTCCTTGTTGAGTTTGAAAGAGCCAGACGCGCCGCTGCCCTTCACTTGCGCCACGGCGTCTTTGGCCACGAGCTTCTTGATGGCCAACTTCACGCGGGCATTGTTCTTCTCCACGTCGTATCCTCCGGCAGCAAGCGACTTTTTGAGCGCAGGAAGAGACACGCCGTTCCTCTCCTTGCTGCTGGCCAGAGCCTTGAGGATGAGCTCGGACACGCTGGGGCCGACCTTCTTGGCCTTTGGAGCGGCGCGCTTCTTCTTGGGGCTTTTAGGCGCTGAAGTAGCCGCAGCTGGTGGTTGAGCAGGAGCAGTTTCCGCCATCTCAAGACGTCGCTTTTATCGCCTCGCCTCTTGGAAACCGAAATCAGCGCTCTCACGAATTCGAACCGAGCGTCCTCCAGGCCCGAGGTTATTATAGAAGCGGCGTACTGAATGCGGACGTCGCTGAGATCATCCAGCACTCAGCTCTAGTGAGGGAGTTGCCTCCATACTCACTGTGTTTATCACGCCTGCCTTTGGGCTCGATTACTCCCGTAACGTTCATACTTACATGCATCTAGTTAATACATCATCACGAAGATCACTTCTTTAATGTACGTTACTTATGCAATATACGACAATGCTCACGATATAAATTATAATTCTAAACAAGTGAACAACCAACATTTGGGAGACATTGTTCGGTCAGGGCAAGATATGATGATTGTCGGTTTTCAAAAGTGTTACTGATGAACACTATTTAAAACGCACTCGAATTTTTTGCAAGACAAGATGCTTCAACATACTACTCATTTAATTCCAACGAAATATTTTCTATTTAAGTTTTGCCTCGCGCGCTCGCGATTCCTCCTCTCGCGCTATGGTGAGGACTGCGCGCCATGTCAATCGTCCCTTGTCACCGAACTTTTAACTGGACGTTTTAATCGAACTTTGAAATGAATAAATTTATGGATTTTCAGATGGACAACAAACTGAAGAAAATTACTCAAAATTAACCGACATTATATGGAAAGTTTAACATTTTACGTGGCAAGAGATGAGTAGCTCACGCACTGCAGAAGGGTCGCGCGCCTTGAAGGCACGGTGCACAATCATCACCACTCAAATTCAACTCAAGTGACTCCGCAGTCGAATGTTTAAAGAAAATATATAATCTTACGTTTAATGCATTGACAGAGTTGATATTCTAGGAGCGCAGGATGGTTCATGCGATTAGTTGTTTTTACTGCAATAAGTAACACGTATTTACTGCACTAAGTAACACGAATGAGTAATCATTGGAAAGATGTTATTAACCATGTAAAAAATATTTAACTACACATATTTGTACCATCTTATTTGACAGGTAATATTATACTTTCGCGAGTGTTAACATCCCCAGCGTTTACCAGTACTTTTATGCTTACTATCAGCTAACACCGGCCACAACCCTGAGCTGATGTGCTCATTTGTTCTCTTTTAGCCCCGACACCCCCGCCACTTCCCGGCAACCACATTCAGATAAGCCCCCCTCTTCCCCCCTGATTTGTTATTTTATTATTTATATTGTTTTAGTTATTTATTATTATTGTTTTACCTACGTGACTTTACCGAAAAAACCTAAGAGTATGAATCATTGCAGTCACGAAAGCTACAAATTTAGAACGAATGCAATAATCATTCATTCCACGCGCATGTGAAGAGGCGTAGTAGATTGGTTTATGCACTTCTGGTAGGAACGAAGTGGACCAGACTCCAATAGATTATATCGTGCGTCCGTTTGTCCGTCCGTCCGTCCGTGTGTCAACATCGCCCCCTACTGCAAACACTTGGCATGACCCTACAAAAACATTTAGACTCAGTGACGCTATCCTGGCTAACCAAGTGTAGCATTCCCTTATAATTCCCTCAGATAGCTTTTAATTACAATGTTACATTCCCTGATGTTTTTAAATAGCAACATTGACATTTAAAGCTTCAACATAAATAATTAAAACATTTATATTAACAATTAACCCACGGCGGCCTAAGGCCTACAGCTAGGCCTAAAGCCTAGACCTAGGCCTCAAGCTCTCCCTTCGTATAGTTCCCCCGCGTGTGTGAAAGGGAGTAAATGGTTAACAAGGTTACATTCCCTGATGTTTTTTAATAGAAACATTTACATTTAAAGCTTTTACATAAATAATTAAAACATTTATATTAACAATTAACCCACGGCAGCCTAAGGCCTACAGCTAGGCCTAAAGCCTAGACCTAGGCCTCAAGCTCTCCCTTCGTATAGTTCCCCGTGTGTGTGAAAAGAAAGTAAATGTTTAACAATGTTACATTCCCTGATGTTTTTAAATAGCAACATTTACATTTAAAGCTTCAACATAAATAATTAAAACATTTATATTAACAATTAACCCACGGCGGCCTAAGGCCTACAGCTAGGCCTAAAGCCTAGACCTAGGCCTCAAGCTCTCCCTTCGTATAGTTCCCCTGTGTGTGTGAAAGGCAGTAAATATTTAACAATGTTACATTCCCTGATGTTTTTTTAATAGAAACATTTACATTTAAAGCTTTTTCATTAAAAACAACTCCCTACCTCCCCCCCCTCGTCGGCGGCTCTCCAGCCGAGCCAGGCCTGGGAATCTCTCCCCCGCTCGGGGTGTATTGGGCGGGGCTACAGCGGCAAGGGGCGGGGCTACAGCGGCAGGGGGCGGGGCTACAGCGGCAGGGGGCGGGGCTACGCGGCAGGGGCCGGGCTACAGCGGCAGGGGGCGGGGCTACAGCGGCAGGGGGCGGGGCTACGCGGCAGCGGGCGGGGCTACAGCGGCAGGGGGCGGGGCTACGCGGGGCTGGGCGGGGACACCGAGATGGGGCGGGGCCACGGGTGGCGGGGCGGGGTTACGCGGGTGGAGGGCGGGGCCACGGGGGCGGAGCGGAGCCACGGGGGAGCGGGGCGGGGTCAAGCGGTGGGAGGCGGAGCTTAGCGCGATGGAGGGAGGGGCCGTTGGCCAAAAGGGGCGGAGTCTACAGTCGAGAATACAGTACCGGGGGCGAGGAGGCGGGGCTAACAGTGATAGGGGCGTGGCCCACGGCGCTGCATCTCGTGCAGATTGTTACTACTCACTGTGTCTGCTCCAAGCTGCACTCACGTAGGTACATACTTGTGCAATACTATTATTTTTTGCAGAACGGTTACTACTACTTTATTGTTTCTTATGTTCCACTACGTCTACGTTTCCATCCACTTATTGGCGCCCATTTTTTGCCATTTCATTTTATTATAGCCATTCAATTGTTCGGTCCTACCAGCCCACCCCACAGGGACCTGTTTTCACCAACGCACAGCAATATTCGTTCCAAGACCAACCCCGGGCACACGTCCCACAGCCCCTTTTAACTCCTCAATCTCCGCTCCCAATACACATTCGCGTCCAGCACGCCTGGTCCGGGTGACGTCACTGCCCTTTAACCCCTGACCCCCCCGTCCAGCTCTTATTTCCCGCGCGTGTGTGAAAAAAAATTAAGATTGATTGGTGCGTGTTGTCGTGAGAGCGGAGATGTCGTGTTTGCGTGGTGCGTGGTGCGTGAGGGTGGCTCGCAGATCCCTTGAAGTGCTTGAACCATTCTCCGACTCCTCTTCATATGTAATCTGACCGCTCAAAAAGAGCGAGTTTTATTCTTTAAAAAAACACGATACTTTCTTCCAATAGGCACCTCAATTTATTCTAAACCATGTTCCATGATTGATGCAATGTTGGAATGCTGCTCAAATACCGTTCCTAAATTAGACATAAAGGGTATCTGGAATGAGCAGAGAATTCGTTTAATTGCGAGCAATTTGGGACGAGGGCAACTCGACGACGGTGTCCTTATTAATAACAAAACCCCTGTGTACGACTGTCCGAGCTCTTTGCAAGCAAGTGGGTGGCTCTGAAAAGAGCCGTTGTTGTGGTGGTAGAGGCGGCGGCGCGTTCACTTCTTTGCCTGAGAGGTCTTCTTGGGCAGCAGCACGGCCTGGATGTTGGGCAGCACACCGCCCTGGGCGATAGTCACGCCGCCCATGAGCTTGTTGAGCTCCTCGTCGTTTCGCACGGCGAGCTGCAGGTGTCGGGGGATGATCCTCGTCTTCTTGTTGTCGCGGGCGGCATTGCCAGCCAGCTCGAGGATCTCGGCAGAAAGGTACTCGAGCACGGCGGCCAGGTAGACGGGTGCTCCAGCGCCGACCCGCTGGGCGTAATTGCCCTTGCGGAGCAGCCTGTGAACGCGACCCACGGGGAACTGCAGGCCGGCGCGGGAAGAGCGGGACTTTGCCTTGGCGCGAGATTTGCCACCGGTCTTGCCGCGTCCAGACATCGTTAAGGACCTAGGATGCAAAAAGCACTGGAGACAAAGTACGAACGATTTGTGACGTTAACACGCACCACGGGAGCGGCTTTTATAGCGGAGACGAGGATCGTAGAGCGCGCCGCTGCTGATTGGCTCCTCTCGGTCGAGTCCCGCCCTCTCCTTGAGCCACCAATGACAAGCCGGGACGCGAGGATTCGATGTTGACTTTCATTATTTGTATCCATATATGTTTTAATGCGCACACGCATCTTATGAATTAAACAATGCGATACACGTACTTAATAGGTTCAAGTTTTAAGCATGATAGAGTTAATTTATGGGCGCGTGCTGGCAAGTCAAACTTATAAGCGGATTCCGCAAATATCAATGTATTATTGATTATAATCATCATTTTGAGGGACCGCATTGGTTATAAGAAATCATTGTGATAGCCTTGAGCTCGTGATTGATCGCCCACGTGCCTATACGGTGTATAGATATTTTTCTTTAACCGCCTGTTCGGGCAATGCCTAAAAATATATGTGCGTGAATAATTCAGTCTCAGTTTGCAAAATGTGAACTTCTTATCAGCTCGGGCTTGAAACAACATAAACCAATATCTTTGGGTTTAATCTATATATATAAAATCGTGAATGTCTGTCTGTCTGTGTGTGGATGTCGGACCATACGCACTTTCATTGGACGCCGGTTGCCCCTGCCAACGCCTAGCGACGTCTTCGCCGCTTTCATTGGACGCCGGTTGCCCCTGGCAACGGCTAGCGACGGGCTAGCAGTTGCGGGGTGGACGCCATCTTTAATTCCCGTTAAAAATAGGCGCACGCATTAACACGCGACTCTGAGGTAAATTCATCTAAGTTTCACGTCCTCTTTACTCCCCCCCCCACCACAATGTGTGCTATTACTATTATAGGGTCGGTAGATTATTAAATTATAGCGATTACACAGTATTATTGAAGCGCGGGGGGGGGGGGGGGGAACGGCACCCGTACCCAGCGTCAGCCGGGTGGCAAAATCAGGCGAGGCGGGAGGCTCTGCACGGTGCTAGGCCTCCACACCCACCACGCGACTCCGAGGTAAAATACATTTCACCAAAATAACCCTTTTGTTGTACATTATGTAAACATGGTTTCACAACGCTTATATACAACACCAACGTGTGATGTTGAAGAATGAGCGGCGGGGTATAGAAATGAACTTGCATTGTCGCTTACGCCTGACGACTCGTGAGAGCCGTGACCAGCAAACGAAGGTTTCCGGCACCCGAACTTTGAAGGACACACATGGAAGCTTTCTCACGAGTAAGTGGTGGCTCTGAAAAGAGCCTTTGTGTTGTGCTTTGAGGGCCGAGCTGGGCGTTCAAGCGCGCTCGCCACGAATGCGGCGGGCGAGCTGAATGTCCTTGGGCATGATGGTGACGCGCTTGGCGTGGATGGCGCACAGGTTGGTGTCCTCGAAGAGCGCGACAAGGTACGCTTCGCTGGCCTCCTGCAGAGCCATGACAGCGGAGCTCTGGAAGCGCAGGTCGGTCTTGAAGTCCTGCGCGATCTCCCTGACGAGGCGCTGGAAGGGCAGTTTGCGGATGAGCAGCTCGGTGGACTTCTGGTAGCGGCGGATCTCGCGCAGAGCGACGGTGCCGGGCCTGTAGCGGTGAGGCTTCTTGACGCCGCCCGTGGCCGGAGCGCTCTTTCGGGCCGCCTTGGTGGCGAGTTGCTTGCGGGGGGCCTTGCCGCCCGTGGACTTGCGAGCCGTCTGCTTGGTGCGAGCCATGGCTTGGTGAGGGCAAAGATTCTCACAGGCGGGGAGGAGAAGGCGGCTTATGTAGCCCAGAGCGCGCGCTCACTGGTCAGCGGAGTCGTGACGTGCGAAGAAGGGGCGCGTGCTGATTGGTTGGCAGCGTGCAATGATCTCGAGTCGTCAACTCTTCTTCATCAACGAAATGTTCTCACTTTGGAGCATTGCAGAATGCCGCATCACGATGCAGTAGTTCCGTTTGAGCGCCGTCCATGTCTTTAACGGATGTTCTTTTCTCAAGCAAACACCTTTCCGAAAACAACTTTACAGTGCTCCGCGTGATCTAAATAAAGTGTGCAGAAACTGCACTTCATTGGAAACAGTAATACGTAAAAATATTCTTTGGTTCTTTCGGTAAAGTCACGTATAAAGAAAAAATAATAATTAATAATAGCATACGACGTTTCGATTGCAACACAAGCAATCATCATCAGGTATAATGAAATAGCGACATAAAATCTAACCAGAAAAAATTATAGACAGACATATAAGCAGACAGATATCAACAATTTGTTTCTTTATATACGTGACTTTACCGAAAGAACCAAAGAATAATTCCTGCAGTCACGAAAGCTCCAAAGTTAATACGTAAAATTGTCGGAAAGAGGTGATCACAGGGATAGATATCTATTCTCTTGGCATTGAGATGATGATCATCAATTATACTGCACGAGTCATCCATGCTAGGCGCTTACTTTTACATAGATGCACACGTGCAAAATGTTAGTTCCTGCCCGAAAATACAACCACGAATTAAATATATTGCATTGCAAGGTTTTGGCACCAAATATCCAATGTAATATCTGAATGGGCTGCAGATGAAATCAATGGACAAACAAGTCCAAGAAATGCCTGCTGGTGAAATGATGTGCCATGAATATTGTTATCGCTTTTATTCCCGTGGAAACAGGTTAAAATGCGTTCCATCTCTCCATTCCACTCAATGAGCGAACAATGTCCCCGCGTGAACCGGGGCTTTGTTGGAAGTTTCGTTTAGTACTCCTGCTAGGACTGGTACAAGCAGGTTCGGAGAGGTGGGTGGCTCTGAAAAGAGCCTTTGTAATTAATGGTGGAGTCGAGGCTTCACTTGGAGCTTGTGTACTTGGTGACGGCCTTGGTGCCCTCCGACACGGCGTGCTTGGCCAGCTCGCCGGGGAGCAGCAGTCGCACTGCGGTCTGGATCTCCCGAGAAGTGATGGTGGAGCGCTTGTTGTAGTGCGCCAGGCGGGACGCCTCGGAAGCGATGCGCTCGAAGATGTCGTTGACGAACGAGTTCATGATGCTCATTGCCTTGGACGAGATGCCGGTATCGGGGTGCACCTGCTTCATCACCTTGTAGATGTAAATGGCGTAGCTCTCCTTCCTGCGGTGGCGTCGCTTCTTGCCATCCTTGCGCGTAGCCTTGGTCACAGCCTTCTTGGAGCCCTTCTTGGGAGCAGGAACCTTGGCCGGCCCAGCGCTCTTTGATGCGGGAGGATCGGGCATGTCGACGCGTCGTAGGCAGCAGCTTCAGGTCAGAACAGACGGGAAGCGAATGTGGATGTCGCTCGCGCGTTGAGCTCCTTTTATAGGAGGCGAGATGCAAATCAGAGGATCGTAGTGCGCGGCGCTGCTGAGTGGCTCTTTTAGTACCGTCCCTCTCCATCAGCCTCCAATGAGAAACGCGGACGCGATGTTCACTTTAATATCGATTTTACTGCAAAAAGGACTTGTGAATATAACACAATGTAATGTCCAAACATGTGTATTAGTGAATTGCAGCCATGGCATTGCCTTTGTTTTAAAAAGGATGACTAGAAAACCCAATACAGTATATTGTGTTTTGAGCGTGGGTTTTTTTGTTTCTTACGAGGGATTGTTTCACCACTCGTCTAATACGGCGCACGGGCGTTTTATGAACGCAATTTGGAAAAATACAAGCGCTCGGTGGAGAAAAATAACTTCGCTGTTGTGCTGTACAGGTGGAGATTAGCATTCCGGCACGCTCCGTCAATTAGGACGAGTGTGCTGTAAGATTGTGGCGCCAAATGCTCTACGTAATATCGGAATCGGCTGCAGCTGGAAATAATTCACGCAAAATACCAGAAATGGGTACTGTATTAAGGCGTTCAAGAATTACGCCTTGTTAAATGTGTCGTGAATATCATGATTTCTTTCATTCATGTGGAAGCAGATGAAGATTCGCCAACTCAACAAGCAAACGTCCAGCACGCTCACAACAACCCAGGACATGTGCTCCATTCAGAGCGTGTTTGGCAACACTGGCGCAAGCAGTTTCGAAGAGGTGGGTGGCTCTGAAAAGAGCCTTTGGGTTGGCTTAGTGTGCGAGAGATGGGCGCTCAGCCTCCGAAGCCGTAGAGAGTGCGGCCCTGGCGCTTGAGGGCGTAGACCACGTCCATGGCGGTGACGGTCTTGCGCTTGGCGTGCTCCGTGTAGGTGACGGCGTCGCGGATGACGTTCTCAAGGAAGACCTTCAGGACGCCGCGGGTCTCCTCGTAGATGAGGCCCGAGATGCGCTTCACACCGCCGCGGCGAGCGAGGCGGCGGATGGCGGGCTTGGTGATGCCCTGGATGTTGTCGCGCAGCACCTTGCGATGGCGTTTTGCGCCTCCCTTGCCGAGCCCCTTACCGCCTTTACCGCGTCCAGACATTGCGACTACTTGTGACAAAGCTCCTCGCGAGAGACTGCGCGCTCAGCTTGCAGCAGCAGCCGCCTTTATACCCGAAGCGTGGCGACGTCACCGACCACCCCTGCCCTCCGCGATGGCTCCGCCTTAAACCTTCCACCTTTAACCTCTGCGACGAAGAAAACCCTCCACCGTCGTCAATAACACTTCCTTGACATGTATAATATGCGACGTTTTGGGCAATGGCCCTTCTTCGAAGCACTCTGGAATGATATTGGCACACCCGCAGCGAACGCCAGAGGAACGCCATCTGTTGCAAGATTGCACGTGCAGTGAATAATCGGTGTAAGGTCTTGTTTTCAAGTGAACAAGATGAACTAACTTTATAATCGTGTGAAGCTAAACCGCTTCCAACACAATAGTTGAGTGAACGTCACCAACTAGTTGTCCCAAAGTAAGAAAGACATTGCAAACAATGCGATATTTACGTATAGAAATTAATTTAATAGAGAAGTTTAGATGGTGCACCGCAATGTTTACAAAACAAAAACAAAGTGAAAAGGCGAGAACGAGCGAATGAAGGCAAATGAGTAAAGCTGTCTGGAATCAATACATTTTTAGACTAAATTCCATATTTGGCACCAGTAGCATGATGACGGAATGAAGAGGTGCAACACATAATCAAAATTGGAGGTTCGTCAAGAATGCATCGATTTTGAATCTGGATTTAGATTAGAATCGCCAGCGAGAATGCTGACGTCGCTGAGATTACTCTGCACTCAGTTCGAGTGAGGGAGCTGCCACCCGCCTCGCCTGTGTTTGTGATCCCTGCTTTCGGGCTCGATCACTCCCATCACATCAATGCTTAAAACACATCGAGTGGGTGAAATGTTACACAGTTAATTTGAACTAATTGAAGCGCAGCAGCATCTGGTTCACTTTTTTAACGAAGTGGGTGGCTCTGAAAAGAGCCGTTGAGGTGGAGTGAATCGAGCGTCGGTCGTCCCATCGGATTCACTTCTTTGGCGCAGTCTTCTTGGGCTTGGCCGCGGCCTTCTTGGGCTTGGCCACCTTGGGTTTGGCGGCCTTGGCCTTGACGGTCTTGGGCTTAGCGACCTTGGGCTTCGCAGCCTTGGGCTTGGCTGGGCTCTTCGCCGCCTTCTTGGGCTTAACAGCCGACTTCACCTTTTTGGGGCTCTTGGCCGCCTTGGCAGCCGCGGGCTTCTTTGCTTTCTTGGGAGACTTCTTGGGCGCGGTCTTCTTGGCTGCCGCGGGCTTCTTCACCTTCTTGGCTGCCGCGGGCTTTTTAGCTGCGGGCTTTGCCGTTGACGACTTGGGCTTCGCCTTTGCGGCAGCCTTTTCCTTGTTGAGTTTGAAAGAGCCAGACGCGCCGCTGCCCTTCACTTGCGCCACGGCGTCTTTGGCCACGAGCTTCTTGATGGCCAACTTCACGCGGGCATTGTTCTTCTCCACGTCGTATCCTCCGGCAGCAAGCGACTTTTTGAGCGCAGGAAGAGACACGCCGTTCCTCTCCTTGCTGCTGGCCAGAGCCTTGAGGATGAGCTCGGACACGCTGGGGCCGACCTTCTTGGCCTTTGGAGCGGCGCGCTTCTTCTTGGGGCTTTTAGGCGCTGAAGTAGCCGCAGCTGGTGGTTGAGCAGGAGCAGTTTCCGCCATCTCAAGACGTCGCTTTTATCGCCTCGCCTCTTTGAAACCGAAATCAGCGCTCTCACGAATTCGAACCGAGCGTCCTCCAGGCCCGAGGTTATTATAGAAGCGGCGTACTGAATGCGGACGTCGCTGAGATCATCCAGCACTCAGCTCTAGTGAGGGAGTTGCCACCATACTCACTGTGTTTATCACGCCTGCCTTTGGGCTCGATTACTCCCGTAACGTTCATACTTACATGCATCTAGTTAATACATCATCACGAAGATCACTTCTTTAATGTACGTTACTTATGCAATATACGACAATGCTCACGATATAAATCATAATTCTAAACAAGTGAACAACCAACATTTGGGAGACATTGTTCGGTCAGGGCAAGATATGATGATTGTCGGTTTTCAAAAGTGTTACTGATGAACACTATTTAAAACGCACTCGAATTTTTTGCAAGACAAGATGCTTCAACAGACTACTCATATTTAATTCCAACAAAATATTTTCTATTTAAGTTTTGCCTCGCGCGCTCGCGATTCCTCCTCTCGCGCTATGGTGAGGACTGCGCGCCATGTCTGGTGAGAATAGAGGGGAGTGTGGAGTTCTGGTGAGAATAGAGGGGAGTGTGGAGTTCCGGTGAGAATAGAGGGGAGCGTGGAGTTCTGGTGAGAATAGAGGGGAGTGTGGAGTTCTGGTGAGAATAGAGGGGAGTGTGGAATTCCGGTGAGAATAGAGGGGAGTGTGGAGTTCCGGTGAGAATAGAGGGGAGTGTGGAGTTCCGGTGAGTATAGAGGGGAGTGTGGAGTTCCGGTGGGAATAGAGGGAAGTGTGGAGTTCCGGTGGGAATAGAGGGGAGTGTGGAGTTCTGGTGGAAATAGAGGGGAGTGTGGAGTTCCGGTGGGAATAGAGGGGAGTGTGGAGTTCTGGTGGGAATAGAGGGGAGTGTGGAGTTTCGGTGAGAATAGAGGGGAGTGTGGAGTTCCGGTTGGAATAGAGGGGAGTGTGGAGTTCTGGTGAGAATAGAGGGGAGTGTGGAGTTCCGATGAGAATAGAGGGGAGTGTGGAGTTCCGGTGAGAATAGAGGGGAGTGTGGAGTTCTGGTGAGAATAGAGGGGAGTGTGGAGTTCCGATGAGAATAGAGGGGAGTGCGGAGTTCCGGTGGGAATAGAGGGGAGCGTGGAGTTCTGGTGAGAATAGAGGGGAGTGTGGAGTTCCGGTGGGAATAGAGGGGAGTGTGGAGTTCCGGTGGGAATAGAGGGGAGTGTGGAGTTCCGGTGAGAATAGAGGGGAGTGTGGAAGTTCCGGTGGGAATAGAGGGGAGTGTGGAGTTCCGGTGAGAATAGAGGGGAGTGTGGAGTTCCGGTGGAATAGAGGGGAAGTGTGGAGTTCCGGTGAGAATAGAGGGGAGTGTGGAGTTCCGTGAGAATAGAGGGGAGTGTGGAGTTCTGGTGAGAATAGAGGGGGTGTGGAGTTCTGGTGGGAATAGATGGGAGTGGGTGGGAGTTCCTGATGAGAATAAGAGGGACGTGTGCGAGTTTCAGGGGGAATAGAGGGGAGCTTAGCAGTTACTGGTGAGAATAGAGCGGGGAGGTGTGGAGTTCCTGGTAGGAATAGAGGGGAGGTGTGGAGTTCTGGTGAGCAATAGAGGGGAGTGTGGAGTTCCGGTGGAGAATAGAGGGGAGCTTGTGAAGTTCTGGTGAGAATAGAGGGGAGTTGTGGAGTTACTGGTGAGAATAGAGCGGGAGTGTTGGAAGTTCGGTGAGAATAGAGGGGAGTGTGGATTTACGGTGAGAATAGATTGGGAGTGGGATTCTGGAGGAATAGATGGGAGTTTTGAAGAAGTTCTGGTGAGAATTATAGGGGAGTGTGGGAGTTCTGTGAGAATAGAGGGGAAGTGTGGAGTTTATGTGAGAATAGATGGGAGGTGGAGTTCCGGTGGGAATAGAGGGGAGGGTGGAGTTCCGGTGAGAATAGAGGGGAGTGTGGAGTTCTGGTGAGAATAGAGGGGAGTGTTGGAGTTCTGGTGAGAATAGAGGGGAGTGTGGAGTTCCAGTGGGAATAGAGAGGCGTGTGAGTTCCGTGGGAATAGAGGGGAAGTGTGGAGTTTTCAGGTGAGAACTAGAGGGGAGTGTTGAGTCTGGCTGAGAATCGAGGGGAGTGTAGAATCCGGTGAGAATAGAGGGGAGCGTGGAGTTCTGGTGAGAATAGAGGGCAGTGTGGAGTTCTGGTGAGAAATAGAGGGGAGTGTGGAGAGTCCGGTGAGAATAGAGGGGAGTGTGGAGTTCTGGTGAGACATAGAGGGGAGTGTGGAGTTCTGGTGTGGGAAATAGAGGGGAGTGTAGAATTCCGGTGAGAATAGAAGGGAGCGTGGAGTTCTTGGTGAGAATAGGGGGAGTGGGTATGTGGCGTGGGGTGAGAATAGAGGGGAGGGTGGATAGTTCCGGTGTGAGAATAGAGGGGAGCGTGGAGTCTGGTGAGAATAGAGGGGAGTGTGGAGTTCTGGTGAGAATAGAGGGGAGTGTGGAATTCCGGTGAGAATAGAGGGGAATGTGGAGTTCCGGTGAGGAATAGAGGGGAGTGTGGAGTTCCGGTGAGTATAGAGGGGAGTGTGGAGTTCGGTGGAATAGAGGGAAGTGTGGAGTTCGGTGGGAATAGAGGGAGTGTGGAGTCTGGTGGAATAGAGGGGAGTGTGGAGTTCCGGTCGGGAATAGAGGGGAGTGTGGAGTTTCGGTGAGAATAGAGGGAAGTGGTGGGAGTTCCGGTTGGAATAGAGGGGAGTGTGGAGTTCTGGTGAGAATAGAGGGGAGTGTGGAGTTCCAATGAGAATAGAGGGGAGTGTGGAGTTCGGTGAGAATAGAGGGGAGTGTGGAGTTCTGGTGAGAATAGAGGGGAGTGTGGAGTTCCGATGAGAATAGAGGGGAGTGCGGAGTTCCGGTGGGGAATAGAAGGGAGCGTGGAGTTCTGGTGAGAATAGAGGGGAGTGTGGAGTTCCGGTGGGAATAGAGGGGAGTGTGGAGTTCCGGTGGGAATAGAGGGGAGTGTGGAGTTCCGGTGAGAATAGAGGGGAGTGTGGAGTTCCGGTGGGAATAGAGGGGAGTGTGGAGTTCCGGTGGGAATAGAGGGGAGTGTGGAGTTCCGGTGAGAATAGAGGGGAGTGTGGAGTTCCGGTGGGAATAGAGGGGAGTGTGGAGTTCCGGTGAGAATAGAGGGGAGTGTGGAGTTCTGGTGGGAATAGAGGGGAGTGTGGAGTTCGGTGGGAATAGAGGGGAGTGTGGAGTTCCGGTGAGAATAGAGGGGAGTGTGGAGTTCCGGTGGGAATAGAGGGGAGTGTGGAGTTCCGGTGAGAATAGAGGGAGTGTGGAGTTCGGTGGGAATAGAGGGGAGTGTGGAGTTCCGGTGGGAAAAGGGGATTGTGGAGTTCCGATGGGAATAGAGGGGAGTGTGGAGTTCCGGTGGGAATAGAGGGGAGTGTGGAGTTCCGGTGGGAATAGAGGGGAGTGTGGAGTTCTGTGGAGAATAGAGGGGAGTGTGGAGTTTCTGGTGGGAATAGAGGGGAGTGTGGAGTTCCGGTGAGAATAGAGGGGAGCGTGGAGTTCCAGTGGGAATAGAGGGGAGTGTGGAGTTCCGGTGAGAATAGAGGGGAGCGTGGAGTTCTGGTGGGAATAGAGGAGAGTGTGGGAGAGTTCCGGTGGAGAATAGAGGGGAGGGTGGAGTTCTGGTGGGAATAGAGGGGAGTGTGGACGTTTCTGGTGAGAATAGAGGGGAGTGTGGAGTTCTGGGTGGGAATAGAGGGGAGTGTGGAGTTCTGGTGAGAATAGAGGGGAGTGTGGAGTTCCGGTGAGAATAGAGGGGAGCGTGGAGTTCCAGTGAGAATAGAGGGAGCGTGGAGTTGCGATGTGAATATAAATCACCGCTGCAGGCTACGCACCTCAATGTATCTATGGAGCGCCACCCTCAGGGCTCCTTGCAGGCGGTAGCTCTGCGCTCCAGCCTGAACATCGCCATCCTGGCCTTGTGCACCTCCCTCAGCTCAAATCCCCTGGACTCCTCCTCCCTGCTGCTGCTGCTCCTCCTCCACGCCCTGCAAGATGCTCCACACGTACTCCAGGGCTTCGGCTTTAGTCTGAGCGGAGGGGGTGGTGGGGTGAGGGGGGCAAAGTTTGTGCGGTGACCAGCGGTGGCTAGGAGATGTTAACTCCCTCGCCTGGTACGTAGGAAGTCGCGGGTTCGATCTCGACCCTGACACCTCATCGGATTCCTCTAGTACAGTATACAGTAAGGAAAAAAGTATTTGATCCCCTGCTGATTTTGTACGTTTGCCCACTGACAAAGAAGTGATCAGTCTATAATTTGAACGGTAGGTTTATTTGAACAGTGAGAGACAGAATAACAACAACAAAATCCAAAAAAACGCATGTCAAAATGTTATCAAGTGAATTGCATTTTAATGAGGGAAATACGTATTTGACCCCCTCTCAATCATAAAGATTTCTGGCTCCCAGGTGTCTTTTATACAGGTAACGAGCTGAGATTAGGAGCACACTCTTAAAGGGAGTGCTCCTAATCTCAGCTTGTTACCTGTATAAAAGACACCTGTTCACAGAAACAATCAATTAGATTCCAAACTCTCCACCATGGCCAAGACCAAAGAGCTCTCCAAGGATGTCAGGGACAAGATTGTAGACCTACACAAGACTGGAATGGGCTACAAGGCCATTGCCAAGCAGCTTGGTGAGAACGTGACAACAATTGGTGTGATTATTCGCAAATGGAAGAAACACAAAGAACTGTCATACTCCCTCGGCCTGGGGCTCCATGCAAGATGTCACCTCGTGGAGTTGCAATGATCATGAGAACGGTGAGGAATCAGCCCAGAACTACACGGGAGGATCTTGTCAATGATCTCAAGGCAGCTGGGACCATAGTCACCAAGAAAACAGTTGGTAACACACTACGCTGTGAAGGACTGAAATCCTGTAGCGCCCGCAAGGTCCCCCTGCTCAAGAAAGCACATATACATGCCCGTCTGAAGTTTGCCAATGAACATCTGAATGATTCAGAGGACAACTGGGTGAAAGTGTTGTGGTCAGATGAGACCAAAATGGAGCTCTTTGGCATCAACTCAACTCGCCCTGTTTGGAGGAGGAGGAATGCTGCCTATGACCCCAAGAACACCATCCCCACCGTCAAACATGGAGGTGGAAACATTATGCTTTGGGGGTGTTTTTCTGATAAGGGGACAGGACAACTTCACCGCATCAAAGGGACGATGGACGGGGCCATGTACCGTCAAATCTTGGGTGAGAACCTCCTTCCCTCAGCCAGCGCATTGAAAATGGGTCGTGGATGGGTATTCTAGCATGACAATGACCCAAAACACACAGCCAAGGCAACAAGGAGTGGCTCAAGAAGAAGCACATTAAGGGTCCTGGAGTGGGCCTAGCCAGTCTCCAGACCTTAATCCCATAGAAAATCTATGGAGGGAGCTGAAGGTTCGAGTTGCCAAACGTCAGCCTCGAAACCTTAATGACTTGGAGAAGATCTGCAAAGAGGAGTGGGGACAAAATCCCTCCTGAGATGTGTGCAAACCTGGTGGCCAACTACAAGAAACGTCTGACCTCTGTGATTGCCAACAAGGGTTTTTGCCACCAAGTACTGTCATGTTTTGCAGAGGGGTCAATACTTATTTTCCTCATTAAAAATGCAAATCAATTTATAAAAAATTACATGCGTTTTTCTGGATTTGTTGTTGTTATTCTGTCTCTCTCACTGTTCAAATAAACCTACCATTAAAATTATACACTGATCATTTATTTGTCAGTGGGCAAACGTACAAAATCAGCAGGAGATCAAATACTTTTTTCCTCACTGTATGTATGTTGAATTTCTTTGTAACCGTACGTAGCCAACCTCGCTAATGGGAGGGTGCGGCGGAAGGACAACAAACTAAAGACAACAACAGCAGCAGCAGCTGTAACGAGAGGAGTGCCGTGCGCTGTGCACAGAGACCTTGCGCTTGCTGGAAGCTGCCCTCAGCGTGCGACTCTCCCACGGTGGCCCAGCGTGAAGCAGCCCCCTTGCCTCCTCCTGCGTGAGCACACGCACACACGTGAACACACGCACACACTGTGATCACACGTGAACACACGTGAACCACGCAC